TCCTCATGGAAGGAGCAATTTATTGAAGCACTTACAGTGAATCCCGGTAAATAAGAAAACATGTCAATATATATGCATAAATATATGCATATTTAAATTTTAACTTTCTCTACTCCATATATATTTTTTTATCATTTTCCTTCTTTTTATTTGAAATATGCACTTCATACATGCATAAGCGCACAAGCTGTTAAATATTGCATTGCAGCCATGTCAAAGAAAAAAATCTGAATAAAAAATTCTAACAAATTATGGTTATTGGTATGATGTATGTATATTTCAACAGCAAAAACTACAACAAGAAGGAGAATAATAAAAAAATATTTTATTATACAACGTAGAAAAAAAATATGTACATATAAATTAATTCCTTTACTCATTTTCTTTTTTATCTTTTCTCGTTTTCTTTTTTTTTTTTTTTTTCTTTAATAAACAGGCGATGATGATGGTGGTGAAGAGGGCGATGAAGAAGGCGTGGCATCAACACCATCCTGTTTCGATTACGTAATGCATTTCTTAACATTATTCTGGAAAATCTTATTTGCATTCATCCCACCAACAGGTAAATTTGTTTTTATTATTTTTTTTTTTAATTACTTATGTAGAAAATCTGATTTCTTAAACTGTTGCTGTTGCTGTAAACAAAGGATATCATACTCAGAAACTATACATTATTTCTGTTATATACTTTGGATATTTGCTAATATGCATTTATACGAGTGGATACTGTTAGGTGAAAGTGCACAGTGGAGTTAATTGTGAACATTATTTTCTTGTAAACTCATAACAATGCTAGAATTATAGAAGAAGACTTAAGCTTTCCAAAACTTGAACAAAGTGGAAACACTGGGATCTAAAAATACTTTAGTCTAAAATTTAAAGGAATAGCAATCAAAACTTACTTACCACTTACTATTTCGCCGGCTACACTGTGTCTCACTTTCTATAGTGAATAAATTTATTAAAGTCCTCATTAATATTCCAAAGGATAAAAGTGGATATGAGATAAAAGACATAAACTGCATATATGAATTTGAAATTATTCTAATAAGGAAATAAATGGAAAAGTAATAGCTGTGACTTCTCAGAAATTAGAAGTGTTAAAGTAGCTACCATTTTAAAAAGAATTTAAATAGTGGACGACCTTAAATATTCCACTACAGGGTGGTCCAACTATTAGAAACTTTTTATACCCACCATCAAAAAAGATGGGGGGTATATTGATTTTGTCACTCCGTTTGTAACACATCGAAATATTGCTCATAGACCCATAAAAGTATATATATTCCGGGTCCTTATTAAATTCTAAGACGATCTAGCCATGTCCGTCCGTCTGTCCGTCCGTCTGTCCGTCCGTCCGTCTGTCCGTCTGTCTGTTGAAATCACGATAGGGACCACACGAGAGGAGCTAGACAGTTGAAATTTTGCATAAATATTCTCTATTGTTAAGGTTTGTTTGGTATTGAAAATGGGCAATATCGGTCCACTTTTTCGGATAGCCCCCATACAAGTGGACCTCCAAAAAACAGCTTCAACGGGCATAACTGCTTCAGAAGTACAAGTATAGCGATGAAATTCGACATAAATAAGTTCCATATGAGCCAAAATCTTTCTACCAAATTTTTTCAGGATCGGCCCATAAATGACCCTACCCCCCATATAAGGTCCCTTTCAGAAAATGACTTTAACACTCATTACTGGCCTAAAAATTCGGGTATAGCGATAAAATTCAGTATAAGTCAGTTTCTCGAACCAAAACCTTTAACCAATTTTTTTTAGGATCGGCCCATAAATGACCCTACCCCCATATAAGGTCCCCTTCTGAAAATGACTTTAACACTCATTACTGGCCCCAAAATGCAAGTATAGCGATGAAATTCGACATAAATAAGTTTCATGTGAGCCAAAATCTTTTTACCAAATTTTTTGAGGATCGGTCCATAATTGACCCTACCCCTCATATATGGCCCCCTTTAGAAAATTACTTTAACACTCATTACTGGTCCAAAAATGCGAGTATAGCGATGAAATTCGGTATAAATAAGTTTCTTACGAATCGAAATCGCTCTACGAATTTTTTTTAAGATCGGCCCATAAATGACCCTACCCCCCATATAAGGTCCCCTTCTGAAAATGACTTTAACGCTCATTACTGGCTAAAAAATACGAATATAGCAATAAAATTTTACACAATTAAGTTCCTCGCGAGCCAAAATCTTTTTAATAACTTTTATTATGGATAGGTCCATAATTGGCCCTTCTCCCCCTATTGGGTCCACTTCAGGAAATAGCTTTAATGCTCATTACTGTCTTAAAAATAAGAGTATAGCGATGAAATGCTACACACGTAAGTTTCTTACGAGCCAAAATCTCTGTACCAATTTTTTTTTTTTTTTTTTTTTGATCGGCCCATAAATGACCCTTCCCCCATATAAGGCCCCCCTCTGCAAATAACTATACTGCTCATTACTGGCTTAAAAATATGAATGTAGTGACGAAAATTGACGCACATAAGTTTAATGCGTGCCAAAATCTCTCCACTAAATTTAGGGAAGATCGGTCCATAATTTACCCTACCGCCCATACAAGGTCCCCTTTAGAAAATTTCTTAAGCGATCATTACTGGCTTAAAAATATGAGTTATGAAATACGGTTATGAAATTCGCTCCGAATTTCATGCGGAATGTGTCGGTAATTCGCCCTACCCCCCCATATAAGCCCCTTTATAAAATTTACATGAACGCTAATTGCTGGCATAAAAATGCGAGAACAGCGAATGTTAACAAGTTTTATATGAACCAAAATCAGTCTACAAAAAGTTATGAGGATAGGTCAACAATTGACCATACACCACATATGAGATCATCCTCTTTAAAAAATTTTATGAAGAAAACTCTGATAATTACAAGTACAGTACAAAATATTAAAAATTAATATTTTGTTAGTTCAAAAGAGCTCGGTCCATAATTGTCTTAAGCCATATTCCAAACATCACCCTGATGTTTATATGGGAGCATTCCTTTTACGGCATACGGTTTGATGGTGGGTATATGAGATTCGGCACAGCCGAATATAACACTCTTACTTGTTAAATCTTTTTTTGATAAAGTTATCAGAGGTTGTTTCGAATTTTTGTTCATATCGTTATTTAGGGACGGATTTTGCTGATTTAAAATAGGAAACTTCTCGAAAGCATGCCTAATTGACTTACTGAAGATTTAGATCCCAAAGATATCTGGAATCTTCAGAAAATTGATTTCAACATACAGACGGACAGACATGACTTAATCGACTCCATTATCAATAAGATTCCTGAATATATGCTTTATCGGAAAATTATAACTGAATGACAAACTTATACGAAAGTAAAGGGTATATAAAAAGTTTATAAAAGGTTTACTAGTGAACAATATTCTTTGTTGATTTCATCATACAATGCGTAATGACAAAAAAGTTTATTGCTGTGATCGAAAGTGTGCAACTGTTGGAAAAGTCATTTCCACAAGCGCCACAGAACCATGATGACAGACTTTTTACGGGTCTACGCTAAAAAATTGCTCCGCCTTGCTGAAAGATTCTGGATGTTGATGAAAACGAATTTCTCGAATGTGGGGTACCATTCGTGAGATAGAATCAGATAACATCAGCAAAGTCTTGTAATATTGAATGTCAGGATAAAAATATTTAGTATAAATGTCTTATTAAATAAAATCTTGATCAAATTTGAATTATAAAACTTTGTGAAAATCCAACTTATCTAGTTTTTTGCAAGCTTTCACAGACAGTCATTCGCTTATATTTTATGAGGACAAGTTAGCACGCATAACATAACACATAAAGTCGAAGTCTGTGAATGGTCTAAAACTCCAGCACAAAATATGCTCTAATTCTGCTCCTCTGGACATGTTGCCTTGGTGAATCTTCCTTCGCCTCTTATTACAATCCTGAGAATATAGGTGCAACAAATACCTCGGGTTAGCTGGGATCTCAAACTTCTGGAGTCAATTGATTCCTCTGATTGGGGGTTTGACCAGAACTCACTATCTCTCTTATCTGGTACTAACGCATATTTCGGTCTACCAAATATGTATGTCTTTGGTTGGTGATTGAGCAGTCTTTAAACGGTTTATGAATACTCTTAGGTGAGTCTATGGAGAATGGCCCTTCTCTGCGGCTAGGCAGAAGCACAGTGAAGCATCAATAGCGATTATTGTGGTTTGAGGCAACCCCGTTTTATTGACTTAACTGAGTGATTGCCTCCTCCTTGTATGCATTCATTGGGTTTTATTCATGATGCCTTTGATTTCGCAACCGGAATACTAATGCTTAAATAGCTTGAGTATTTGATTAAAGTTCTAGTTCATAATAGTGATTATTCGGAAAGTCGCGATATTCTCTGTTTACCATGCTTTTTCTTGATTTAAGAGAATTCAACTGATGAATCTAATTTAAAATTGCATCGATTAAGTGTGTTAACATAGAATTTTCCTTTTAAACTCGGTAGTCAACGAGCCAGCCATGTTTTCTTTCATTACCAAGTCTAGAGGTTACTTAATTGCAAAAGCCTAAGTCTTAAAGCAAAATGGCACAAAAAGTCTAGTTCTATTTAATATTTTCGAACGATCCGTCGATTATTTTACGTATCGATATTGATCCGACACAAACTCAAATGTTGCTTGTTATACCCTTCACCACCATAGTGTTGAGGGTATTATACGTTTGTGCTGATTTTTGTAACGCACAAAAATATTGATCCTACCCCCACCTTAAAGTATACCGATCGACTCAGAATCACTTTCTGAGTCGATTAAGCTATATCCGTCCGTCCGTTCGTCTTAACGTCTTAATAATACTACCGATTTTCGTAATTATCGGACTTTATTTTACCCTAGCCCCCATACAAAGTCCCCTTCAGAAAATGACTTGAAGGTCAATAATTCACTAATAAACACTAGTATCACGATGAAATCCAGCATACATAACTCTAATGTAAACGTAAAGTCATGTACCAAAATTTATAAAGATAGGCCCATATATACCCTTGCCCCATATAATAAATTGTTAAAATATTTCGGAATTAAGGTAAACAACTTAAATGCTTTGTTATTAAAAATAATCCACATTTTTAACATACTCAGTGGTGTAGGGTATCATATGGTCGGCCATGGCCGACTATACTTTCCTACTTGTTAATATTAAAAAATGTTCGTCACAAACTTGGGCTATTCCTTCATAAACTTTGTGCTCCTAAATTAGTTGGAACTTTTAGCTCCTGATTCAGTTAATTTGTGTACGCAAAAGGTCCATGTCAATACACAGAATATACAAAGTTCAAGCCTTCGATAATACAATAGTTAAACACGGCTGCCTATAGTTTTGTGAAAAATTTTTATTAGAACAGCACTAATGTTCTGGAAATGATTGCTTAATGAAATGGACGGTGCGAATAGAAATTTTCACCTTGGAGAATTAAAGGTTATGGAATATCTAGCGAAAAACATAACAAAATAAACAGGACAAATCGCAACATTCCTGAAGAGTTGATCAACGAATGTCATTTTGAGATTATGACATTCGTTATCGAATAAAAAAAGAGTTATCTTTGGAAGCTACTATGAGTTATTTGTTAATTAAATCCAATCCTAATACAATTATATTTAAAAACTAATAGACAAACATTGTTATTTTAATGTTAAATTCACTGTAAAATTAATTCGCAGTTTTTATACAAAGTTAATAAAATTGTATAATTATTACAAAAGAAAACACCTACTATTTAAAAGAAAATTAAAATAAAAATTTCCATTTGCACCCCATCAATTAAAGCAGTAACAATATGATCATCCCTTTTTTATTTCCTTCAATTTCCTTCTCAATTAAAGAATAAATTCCAACTTGTTTTAATGAAATTTAAATTCCAACCTCCTTGTTAATGCAAATTAAAAGTGTATGAATGTGTGTGTGTGCTGTGGCAACAAGGAAAAAGTGGGTATTTAAAGTTATTTAAGAATCGATATACGCGATTCCATGCTGCGTTAATTTGTTACACAAATTGATCCCAAAACTTTTCATAAGATTTTCTATTGATTTTTATTAGAAATTTAAAACAACTTAAGTAGTTTTTCCTTATAGCCACAGTTACGTTTTTATGTATTTTCAAAAAGGAAAGCAAAAAAAACGTGAAAACCTTGAACCTCATTTAGTTTTGCTTGTCACCTTGTTGTGGCATTGTTAACAAAACGGTTTTTATGGCTGGTTAGTTGGCTGACGGATTGTATGTTTTTTTAGGTTTTATAACTTTTCTGTTTTTTATTCTAGCAACAATTTGTGTTTTTTTTTGCCAATGGCGTGACTATTATTAAATTTAGCAAATAAAATTTAAATATTAATTTTTTTTCCTGCTAGTCAACAAAATGATTCAAAGTCATCGTCTCCTCTATGGGATACTTATTTTAAACTGACAACTAAATTGTAGTAATGTACTCTTGTCAATCAGGCAACCAATGAACTGCACCATATACTGTATATTCCGTCACTAACAACAGGTGTCATCATGTTGAGGTTTAAAAAATATCTAAAAACTTTTTATTCAAATACGAATTAGATTACAATGAATATGAATGTATTGCAACAAATCTGATTATATCTAAAAAGTTTTGTACAGTGCCACCATGCAACACAGCAATTGCCTCTACAACTAGCAACAACTGCTACTTATATTGTATAAATGTTTTATTTAATATAAAATTTGTTAGTTTTAATTGTTGATTTTGTATGTTTTTTTTTTTTAAATTTTACAGATATTGCCGGCGGTTATTTATGTTTCGTTGTATCGATATTTTGCATTGGTGTGGTCACCGCTGTTATTGGTGATATTGCCTCATATTTCGGTTGTACGTTGGGCGTTAAAGATGCCGTCACTGCCATTTGTTTTGTTGCTTTGGGTACAAGTATACCAGGTAAGTGTCCATATAAATATAATTTAGATTTTATGTTTATTTATAAGAAAAGCCGACAACATTGATGCCATTAGTAATGGTGGCTGTTGGACGAAATCGATAATCCGAAACACTCCAAAAATAATTGGTCTACAATTTAGTGCTCCTTCCGAAACATTAAATGTATTGATATTGAGCTAAATCCTGATATACATACGTACATATGTATGTATATGATTTATTCTTGGTCAGATTGTGTGAAGTAATCGTCTATTCGAAGTCCCCTTTTATCTTATGCACCTGAATCATGGAGCAATATAACCCAGTAAAAACAGAACTTCCAAAGAAGCGAAAAATAAGTAGAATTTACTCCGTGGAAGTACTGAAAAAGACCTGAACAAGTGATGATTTTAACAAAGGCTTGTCATAGGAGAGATGTCCTTTTTATTTTATTCCAAATTCACTATTTCTGAAGTCATTCTAAAGAAGTAATTTTAATGCTTTTTTTTGGAAGTTATTCGGAAGTGAAATTCTAGTATTATAGAATACAACTAATATGACTTAAATAATATTAAAATTAATTAGGGTAATACACACATTTAATACAAAAGCCCAAATATAACATTTTTTATCCCATAAAATGTAAGAACAAAAAATATATCATCAACATTACAAAAATAGAATTAATTTCGCTTCTTCGGAAGTCTTTAAACATCACTCCCTCAAAAGGTAAAAAATTCAATTAGTGCTAGTTTCGAAGTGGTAATAAATGCTATTCTTTTAGAAGTACTTCGTTTTATTTTTGCTGGGAAGTACCAGACATATTATAAAATTTATTACAAGTTTGATCTTAAATTCCATTTCCTTAGACTAAATATAAGATCATTGGAAAATGATTTTAATACTACGAATATATTAGACATAAAATAGATTAATTAATATAAACCCAAATTCAGTTCATAAATATCAGTGATGTACTTACCCCTGTATTCAGTATCTGGAACTGAAATTTTATATGAAATGCACTCAAAAAATATTTAAAAATTTTCATACAGTTTTTAAATTAGATAGATAGATAGATAGATAGATAGATAGATAGATAGATAGATAGAAATAGATAGATAGATAGTAGATATAGATAGTAGATAGATAGATAGATAGATAGATAGATAGGATAGATAGATAGATAGAAGATAGATAGATAGATAGATAGATATGATAGAAGATAGATAGATAGATATATCGATCGCTAGATCGTCGCTAGATCGCTGCTGATAGCTAGATCGATATGCTCGATCGCTCGCTGCTAGATAGTGCTAGCTGAGAGCTAGCTGCTCGCTCGATCCCGCTCGCTCGCTGCTCGCTAGCTGCTCGCTCGCTGCTCGCTGCTGCTCGCTCTCGCTCGCTCGTCGCTGTGCTCGCCGCTGCTCGCTCGCTCGCTCGCTGTCGCTCGCTCGCTCGCTCGCTCGACTCGCTCGCTCGTGCTCGCTCGCTCCGCTCGCTGCTCGCTCGCTCGCTAGCTCGTCGCTCGACTCGCTGCTCGCTCGCTCGCTCGCTCGCTCCGACTCCTCGCTCGCTCGCTCGCTCTCGCTCGCTGCTCGCTCTGCTCGGCTCGCTCGCTCGCTCGCTCGCTCGCTCGCTCGCTCGTACGCTCGCTCGCTCGCTCGCTCGCTCGCTCGCTCGCTCGCTCGCTCGTCGCTCCTGCTCGCTCGCTCGCTCGCTCGCTCGCTCGCTCGCTCGCTCGCTCGCTCGCTCGCTCGCTCGCTCGCTCGCTCCCGCTCGCTCGCTCGCTCGCTCGCTCGCTCGCTCGCTCGCTCGCTCGCTCGCTCGCTCGCTCGCTCGCTCGCTCGCTCGCTAGCCGCTCGCTCGCTCCGCTCGCTCGCTCGCTCGCTTCGCTCGCTCGCTCGCTCGCTCGCTCGCTCGCTCGCTCGCTCGCTCGCTCGCTCGCTCGCTCGCTCGCTCGCTCGCTCGCTCGCTCGCTCGCTCGCTCGCTCGCTCGCTCGCTCGCTCGCTGCTAGCTCGCTCGCTCGCTCGCCGCTCGCTCGCTCGCCTCGCTCGCTCGCTCGCTGCTCGCTCGCTCGCTCGCTCGCCTCGCTCGCTGCTCGCTCGCTCGCTCGCGTCGCTCGCTCGCTCGCTCGCTCGCTCGCTCGCTCGCTCGCTCGCTCGCTCGCTCGCTCGCTCGCTCGCTCTCGCTCGCTCGCTCGCTCGCTCGCTCGCTCGCTCGCTCGCTCTCTCGCTCGCTCGCTCGCTCGCTCGCTCGCTCGCCTCGCTCGCTCGCTCGCTCGCTCGCTCGCTCGCTCGCTCGCGCTCGCTCGCTCGCTCGCTCGCTCGCTCGCTCGCTCGCTCGCTCTCTCGCTCGCTCGCTCGCTCGCTCGCTCGCTCGCTCTCGCTCGCTGCTCGCTCGCTCGCTCGCTCGCTCGCTCGCTTCGCTCGCTCGCTCGCTCCTCGCTCGCTCGCTCGTCGCTCGCTCGCTCGCTCGCTCGCTCGCTCGCTCGCTCGCTCGCTCCTCGCTCGCTCGCTCTCGCTCGCTCGCTCGCTCGCTCGCTCGCTCGCTCTCTCGCTCGCTCGCTCGCTCGCTCGCTCGCTCGCTCGCTTCCTCGCTCGCTCGCTCGCTCGCTGCTCGCTCGCTCTCTCGCTCGCTCGCTCGCTCGCTCGCTCGCTCGCTCGCTCGCTCGCTCGCTCGCTCGCTCGCTCGCTCGCTCGCTCGCTCGCTCGCTCGCTCGCTCGCTCGCTCGCTCGCTCGCTCGCTCGCTCGCTCGCTCGCTCGCTCGCTCGCTCGCTCGCTCGCTCGCTCGCTCGCTCGCTCGCCTCGCTCCTCGCTCGCTCGCTCGCTCGCTCGCTCGCTCGCTCGCTCGCTCGCTCGCTCGCTCGCTCGCTCTCTCGCTCGCTCGCTCGCTCTCGCTCGCTCGCTCGCTCGCTCGCTCGCTCGCTCGCTCGCTCGCTCGTCGCTCGCTCCTCGCTCGCTCGCTCCTCGCTCGCTCGCTCGCTCTCGCGCTCGCTCGCTCGCTCGCTCGCTCGCTCGCTCGCTCGCTCGCTCGCTCGCTCGCTCTCTCGCTCGCTCGCTCGCTCGCTCGCTCGCTCGCTCGCTCGCTCGCTCGCTCGCTCGCTCGCTCGCTCGCTCGCTCGCTTCGCTCGCTCGCTCGCTCGCTCGCTCCTCGCTCGCTCGCTCGCTCGCTCGCTCGCTCGCTCGCTCGCTGCTCGCTCGCTCGTCGCTCGCTCGCTGCTCGCTCGCTCGCTCGCTCGCTCGCTCGCTAGCTCCTCGCTCGCTCGCTCGCTCGCTCGCTCGCTCGCTCGCTCCTCGCTCGCTCCTCGCTGCTCGCTCGCTCGCTCGCTCGCTCGCTCGCTCGCTCGCTCGCTCGCTCGCTCGCTCGCTCGCTCGCTCGCTCTCGCTCGCTCGCTCGCTCGCTCGCTCGCTCGCTCGCTCGCTCGCTCGCTCGCTCGCTCGCTCGCTCCCGCTCGCTCGCTCGCTCGCTCGCTCGTCCTCGCTCCGCTCGCTCGCTCGCTCGCTCGCTCGCTCGCTCGCTCGCTCGCTCGCTCGCTCGCTCGCTCGCTCGCTCGCTCGCTCGCTCGCTCGCTCCTCGCTCGCTCGCTCGCTCGCTCGCTCGCTCTCTCGCTGCTCGCTCGCTCGCTCGCTCGCTCGCTCGCTCGCTCGCTCGCTATAGATAGATAGATAGATAGATAGATAGATTTTATCGGTATGGTTTTCAGTAGCAATCTTTGCTGAAATAGTGTGCTATTTGTATATAATACCGGATAAAGTTATTGTAAATCGGTTTTTTATATTTATTTCTTAAGAAATTTTCTAAAATATTTTTTTTAAATACTTACATATTTTGTTCTAATTTGATTGTTTGCATATACATACCAAAAACTATAATTATTTTTCTATAATAGTACAAGACAGAATGTGCATAAAATGGACAGACCCCATCTTTAAACCTGGTTGGTACCGGTATTTCAAAAGCTTCAAAAACAAGCAAAATGAGCTTTAGTAGTGTGGGCTAACTAATTTTTTTTTTTTTTACAATTAATTGTACTCAGTTTAAATTTACAAGAATAAGTGTAACGAAATTCGTCGTTATACTAAAAAAATATTTTCAAGTTGTTAGCTTTGTACATAATTCTCTCAAAATAAATGTTTATAAACATTTTTACAATTTTAAACAGAGTACATTGTTAGCTTTTTGCTGTATTTATGTATATAATTTCTTTGTTGTTCCCCATCATAATTGTAGTGCAATGAAGATATCTATAAACATATGAAATGTTGCAAAATTTCAAAAACAAATGTTGATACAAATTTTTTCATCTAATTGTTTCAAGAATGCAACTTTATTTATACTGATACATTTGTAAAAGTTTGTTTTAAAAAATTATTTAAATTTTTGTTTGTATTTCAAAAGCAAAAACTTAGCTTTATCTGGTAAACATGTTGCCAGCAACCTATTGTTTAATTCCATTTAATTGCACATACAGTTTAAATATGTATTAAGCAAATGTTGAGTAAATTAGTTGCTTATGGTAGGCAACTTTGTTAATTAACCTCCGATGCATGTTGCAAAAAAAATATTGCTTATTATGTATAAGCAAATTATTTAAAAAAAACTTTTTGAATTCCTATTAACAGGAAGCTTTAATAGAGCATTTAGTTTAAAAACTTTATTTCGAAAGAAGGAGCTAAGCTTTCAATACATAGGTATATGGCCCTTCAACAATGTTGCTGAACATTGTTTATTTAGTTTTTGGATTTCCTATTAACAGGAGCTTTTATAGAGCATTTGTTTATACATTTGTATCTCTAAAGAAGAAGCTTAGCTTTATATGGATTCTCAACAATGTTGCTAGACATTGGTTTTTTTCTAATTTAGTGGGCAAACAAAAAATAACCAAAACTTAGCAAAATAACAACAAATTTGTTGTTTTGTGTACCATTTTTTCTACACAAAATATTAATGTTTTAAAATATGTAAATTATTTTTTTTCTCTATGGAATTTAAATTTATTATTATATATGTTTTACAATTACTCTTTAGATACATTTGCCAGTAAAGTAGCTGCCATACAAGATAAATACGCTGATGCTAGTGTGGGTAATGTAACCGGTAGTAATGCTGTAAATGTCTTCCTTGGCATTGGTGTTGCGTGGTCTTTAGCTGCCATTGTACATGAAGCAAAGGGCACCGTCTATGCTGTAGAACCAGGAACGTAAGTAAAATTGTGTAACACTCTTGTATTTAATTAATTTAATTGTGTGTGTGTAAGAGAATAATTTAAATTTTAATTTGTATATTTTGTTTTTGTTTTTTTTTTTCTAGTATTGCCTTTTCTGTAACACTTTTCTGTTCGGAAGCTTTAATTGCCATTCTTATATTGTTGCTGAGACGTAGTAAAAAGGTGGGCGGTGAATTGGGTGGTCCCAGAAACATCAAAATTGTTAGCAGTATTATATTGTTCAGCTTATGGGTCATTTATTTGCTGGTAAGCACATTGGAAGCATATGGAGTTATTCATGGATTCTAAGCAGCAGCAACATCTCTTAAATAAAACAACACCCCAGCATCTTATAACTAACATCAGCATCAATAATAGCAGAAATAGAAAAATATTATGAAACTAAAAAGCGAATTAACATCAATGAAAACTACAACAACAACAACAAAAACCAGCATTACTATTTGTAACAACTTTTTTTATATATAAACATAAACATAATAATATACATTTCACTACTATTACATACAACAAAAACCCAAAAACCAAAAATGAGAATATATACTAAAACTAGTAAACATTTAAAACATAAAAAAAAACAAAAACAAAAAACACAAGCTAACTTAACTTAACTACTATTACTTAGAGTTACTTAATGTTAGATTTTAAACTAAATACTAAATTTTTTGAGTCTAAAACTAAAAGAACCAAAAACAAAAAATTTTCTTTTTTATAACTTTTTCTTAAGTCCAAACCAAAAAACAAATCATTAATATCTATCAACTGTAAACGAGTCACACAGAATTTAATATAAAATTCAATTGTTTAAAAAAAAAGTAACAAATAATTAGCAAAGCTAATAAAGAAATTTAAAATTATATTAATTCTAGCTTAAAATTTTGTGAAAGAAAGAAAAATAGAAAATATTTAAGTTGTATTTAAGAAGCATAATTTAATACCAGGAGTTTGTAAAAGTTTAGCAACATTTGTTAATGTTGCTAGGTTTTCAGCAACATTGTAGGGAACAAATTTAAAGCGAGAAATAAGTAAACAAGCAGAAAACTATGTTAGTTTTCGGTTAAAATTTAAAGATTTAATATATAAAATGTTGAGCAACAATTCAATTACATTAGTTTTGCAACATGTCTGTTAGATTTGTATTTGATGCAGATTTAGAACAGTTATTTGAAAAATTATAAAAAAAAATATTATCTCTTCCGTAGTGTCTCAAACCTTATAAACTTGTTGCTGCAGCAAGTTGTAGTCCCATTTTTTAGCAATATAGTTTGGTAACATATAAGACCGAAAAATAATTGGAACAAAACAATCAATTTTGTTTTATAATTTTTAAATTTTTAATATTTTTTTATAATTGTAAACAATTTTAAATATGTGGAGTTTTTGTTTAAAAAGCTTTTAAAAATTTTTCATGTTATTATTTTGAAAAATTTTTAAAGAAAACTTTATAATTTTCATTTCATTCTGTGCTTTAAGGTAAAACATTTTAAACAAGTTGCCAGCAACATTTGAAGATTGAGTTAAAATGTTAAGAATTTAAACTTAACAATTAGAATATTTTTCCATAAGAAATTGTATTGAAAACCGCTAAAGAAACTAGAAGTAGAAATGTTGCAGTTTTTGTATCAACATTGTTGAGCAACAAAATTTGAAACAAGCCCTATTGTCAACTCAATACAGGAGAATTTTAAGAACATTTTGTATAAAAATTCTTTTAATTTAGATATTTTTATAAAATTGTATTATTTTCAAAATGTTTTTAATTAAGAAAATGTAATCAACATGTGGCCAGCAACTTGTTTAACCAACAAATTTAACAACTATTTAGCAACTATTAATATGGAAACTTATATCGTAATAATTTATAAGGATTCAATAAATGTTAAAGGCTTTTTCTTTTTTATTCCTAAAAAATTGTTGCCAGCAACACTTCAACAAGCTTTAAAAGTTTTAAGGAAATAAAATTTCTAAATTAAGAATTTTAATTAAACAAAAGTTGCTAAACAAGGTTTATTAAATCGAAATAAACGAAGTGTTCAAACACTCTAAATGTTAGTTAAATAATCAAACTAGTAAAAATATTAAATCTAGTTAAAATTCTTTAAAAAAATATTTACAAATTTTAAAACTTGAGAAAATGTTGCTAAACATTGTTGATTTAAAGTGTATAAACTTTGTTTAAAGTTTTAACATTTAATTTTAAACCCGAATTTTATAATAAAATTTTATAAAATATTAATATATCTTTTTTAAAATTTAGGAAGTTTCTCGCTTATACCAGCAACATTTCAAACGTTGCTAAACAAAACCTAAAAAACATACTCATAATAAAACTCCTTGTATTAAACTAATACTTTTCTTTTTTTTTAACCTTACAACTTAAAGAAATCTTTTCAAATCAAACTAATTTGTCATGCTCTGTTTTTATAAAAGTTAACCTCAAAAAAAAAACATGTAAAGAAATGTCAAAGAAATTGTGTATAGTAAATTTTATCTCTTGTCATTCTGCTAAAAAAGCAAAATTTAAACAAACAGCAAAAAACTTTTTTAACATAAAAATAATTGTGTATTTTTAATTAAATATAAACAATAATTTAAAAAAATTAATTTAAAGAAAAAACAAGAAAAAACTTTATAATTATATAGAAAAAAAAGAAAAACTTTTTATTACTCCCAAACCAAAAACAAAAGAGAATTTAAACAATTTATTATAATAATATATTTAAAAAAAAAACTTTTTTTGTGTAATTTAAGTTATAGCTAAAAGAAAAAAAATATGTTATTTTTCTAAATAAATTTTTCATAATTTTTTTCAGTTTAATATATTGTATAGAGCAAATTATTATTATTTATTATTTCCTTAATTTGTTAATAATTCTTTTTTTTTTTTTTTTGTTTTGTATTTATTTCTATTTACTGTTTTGTTAATAAAATATTTATAAAAAAAAAATTAATCAAAAAAAGACAGGAATCTTTAAAGTTATTTAAATTATAGCTAATTCTTGTAGTTAAATGTTAAACATTGCCAGAAACATGTTGCAGAACATTTTTTTAAGCAACATGTTTATTTACAGCTAAAGTTTAAGAAAACATTTCAGTATCTTTGTGAATTGACAAAAAAAAATCTAGAAAATTTCTGTAATTTTTTTAAAAAACTTAACTCATGTTTATAATTATTCAAACATTTTGTTTATATACAATGTTTACAAACATAAATTTGAAATTTTCAAAAACATTTTAAAATTCAGGTTCAGTTATTGCAAAAAAAAAAAGATTTCAATTTAAGTTTTAAGACTTTTTGTATTAGAGGAACTTTAATTTGTAATATTTCTCTTAAAAAACTTTAATTAAAAAATGTCTTTTAAGATCCCTTTTTAATTTCCCCATCAGAAGTTTAAATCTATGAGTTGTAAAAAACTTTTACTCAAAAAGTTTTAAATAAAAACAATTTTGTAAAATATTATAAATATTAAAACTATTATTTTTCACAAATATAAACAGATTTCAAAACATTTTTTTCTTTATAAAAAATATTAATGAAATCGATTTCTAAATAAAGTTTTTTCAAGATTTCTCAGGAATTCTGGATTGTAACAGAAATTCTAGAAATCTAAAGAAGAAGAAAATAGTTTTCAAGCCCCATTTTCACAACAAAATATTACAAACAAAATTCAAAAACTAAAATAAATACTTTAAACAAAACATAAAGATAAAATCTAAAATTAAATTTTCAAATAAAATTTCATAATTTTTTTTATTAATTTAAATAATTTTACTGGTTCCTGTTGATTTAATTTTAATATTTTTTTCTTTCAATTTATTCTTTAAGAAATTTAAAAAATGAAATTAATCCTTAAACTAAACATACTTGCCATTACATTTAATTTTTAAACATAATTTAGCAACGAAACAAATGTTTGTACTTTATATTTCTTAATAAATTTAAAACTAAAAAAAAAAACAAAATAATAAAATAAAATAAATTGTTACAACAAGTGATGGTTCCAAAACAAATAATTGCTAATGTAAAATGCTATTAAATTTTAATTAAAATAAAAAAACAAAATCAAACAGACTGGATTTAAAAACATTTTCAAAACATCCTAAAAATCTAGCTGTTTACAGTTGACCAATTCACAATAGGTGTTGTAACGTTGTATCATGGTATGACATAATGATTTTATTATAATCTTATTTTCAAAACAAAACAATAATACAAAAATTACCACATACAACAATACAATGCTACGCCGTTGATTGTGAGTTAGCCAAGTGTTTCTTAATAATTTATTAAATTATAATTAATAAATTAATTTTGTCTTTAATATAATTTTATATATGTATGTATGTACGTGTTAATGATAACAAATTCAACAACATACAAGAACTGCATTGTTATTTAAATAATTTTTAAAACAAATGAAAAAAAAAACAAAATAATTACTATTTATACATATTTATTATTTCTATGTCTTTTTTTCTTGTTTTTATGTTTTTTTCTGTATACATTTAAGTAGAATTTTTTATTTTTTTTCTAAGTTATATAATGTTTAAGTGAAGTTTGAAGATTTAAAAATTAAGGGGAAATGTTGAAAGAATTTAAAAAAAAAAAAAAAATGTTTGTGTAAAACTAGAAAATGTTAAAAACAAAAACTTCCATGACAACCAAAAACAAGAATTTGTTTAAATATATTAAATTAAGTTTTTAAAACCCCCCCCCCCAAAAAAAAACTAAATAGTATTTTGCTTTAATTTTCGAAAATTTCAAATTTTTCAAAATTGTGTTAAAACTATAAATTCGTAAGAAAAATCTTTATCAATTTTCAGAATATACTTTTTCCGTGTAGAAACAAAAGTTCTATAATTCTTAAGAAAATTTTATCTAATCAAAGGTATATAGGCAAGACTATAGACCAGAGTATAGCAGAGACTAAAGTTCAAACTGATCAGTAGTTTTGTTCAATCTATGACAACTCTCCAGACTATAGCTCAGCTTGTAATACAAACTTAGATTCTGATAATGGTTTATACAATAATTCAGACTGTAGTTCAGACAATATTACAGACCACTCTATAATCTGATTATATCCACATTATTGACAAAGCTAAAGTTTAGACTATGGACAAGACTATAGTCCACACCATAGACAAAACTATAGTTCGCAATATAGGCACAACTATAGTCCATACTATAGATAAGACTTTAATAAAAATTATACTCTATTCATACTGTAGTACTATAATTCACACTGTAGTACAGATTATAATCCAGACCATAGTTCTGACTTACGTCCAGATTACAGTTCTTTTTAAGTTCAGACCAAAGTTCTGACAATACGTCACACCATAGAACTGAGTATAATGTAGACTATAGTCCAGACTATAATCAAGACAATAGAGCATACAATAGTTCAGACTATAATCCAGACTATAGAGCATACAATAGTTCTGAACTATAGTCTAGACTATAGTCCAGATTATAGTCTGGACTATGTACATTTCTAACTTAAGTCCAGATTATAATGGAGACTATGAACAGTTCTAACTTAAGTCCAGATTATATTTTTATTAAGTTTAAAGTTCTGACTATATATCATACTATAGAACAGACTATAATCCAGACTCTAGTGCAAACTATTGTCCAGACTGTAATGTGTACTGTAGTCCAGACTATAATGCATACTATAGTACAGACTATAGTGAAGACTATAGCCCAGACTATAGTGCAGACTATAGTCTAGACTATAGTGCAGACTATTGTCCAGACTATTGTCCAGACTATAGTCCAAACTGTAGTGCAGACTATAATCCAGACTATAGTGAAGACTATTGTCCATACTATGGTGCAGACTATAGTCCAGACTATAATGCGTACTATAGTCCAGTCTATAATTCATACTGTAGTCCAGACTATAATGCAGACTATAGTCCAGACTATAGTGCAAACTATGGTCCAGACATTAGTACAGACTATAGTGCAGACTGTAGTCCAGACTATAGTACAGACTATAGTGCAGACTGTGGTCCAGACTATAGTGCAGACTATATATATATATATATATACCTTCTAAAATCCAGGCTATAGTCTCTACTATAGTTCTGACTAAAGTCCAGACTATAGACTTTACTATACTCCAGATTATGTCCAACAATATGGTTTTGTCTATATTCCTGACTATAACTTATAAATCAGTTCATACACAAGACTACAGTCGTTTTAATACTCGAGAATTCGGCCAGACACTTTTACTTTAACATAGCTGTATTTCCTGCTTTCTTCATGGAACAAACTATTAATTAATCTCCAATAAAAAATATCTCTCAAATTATGAAAAATTCTTGAACCTACAAAACCCTTTTTGGGTCATTTAAAAACATGATTTGTTATAAAAAAAAGTTTTGCCACTTATTAAATATTATTCACGTGTTATTTCTTTATAGAACATTAGGACAATACTGTTGACCTAAGAATTTCGCGAGCCAAGTTCTTAAAATTTTTTCTTAAAAATAAATTGCAAAATGTTCCTGTAATAAAAAAACACCATTTAAAATTCTATCTATTCTACTACCAATTCCACACTCATTTAAGTAATGTAAAACCAATTTAACTAAATTTGTCTTCGAGTGTAAAATAAAAAAAAATCCTTCAAAAATACCGATTTAAAAATTTTTACTTTCCTACCAGGAGCTCAGAATTCAGCAGAAAGTAAATTTGACTAGAAAGCGCCTTAAAGTATGCTTTGGTTTTTATCGCTTTGTTTTTTGTTAACACACCAGGGGCGGTAATAAACTAACACTAAGTATAAACGAAAATAAATCCGTTTGTTTTTTGTTTAACAAAATAAAGTAAAATAACACCAAATAAATTATTAAATAAATTATAAAATTTATTTTTATTGTTATCTTATAGAATGTTTATTAAATATAATTAAATGTAATTTATTTGTAATAAATGTAAATAATTTTTTTATAAACATTAAAACAAAGCAATTACATACGAGTATATAAAATATTTACATATAAATGAAATGTGTAATAATTAATAATAATAAAAAATAAATAAAAACAATGTTGTTAAAACTTTATTTTTAGTAAAATTAATTTTTTTAAATGGATGATATATAGTAAAAAACATATAAATAAATATATAAAAATAATAATAATAATAATTAATAAAAGCCAAAAAACAAGATTTAGTTAAATATTGAATATAAATTGATATTTTTTAAAAGAAACATTTAAAAATACATTTTTAAGTTTGAACCTAAAGAATGAATAACGAAATATTATATATAAAAATTCATTAATAAATATTGAATCCTGAAAATAAATTAAAAGTAAATAAAAATTATTACTTAATAATGGTTGACAGCTGAAATGTTAGAATATTAAAATTATTAAATTTATTTGTGTTTATTATTTATGATTTTTTTATTATTATTAAATAAAACTGATTTAGTTTTTTTTGGAAAAACTATAAGAAAAATACAAATTTGAAAAAAGTGTTTTAATTTTATGATTTCTTTTGTTTGGTTCAAGTAATTTGGGAAAAAATTGACTAAGATTATGTATGATCATCTTTTAACTCATCAAAGAGTCAAAGCATCCGAAAAATACAGTCGTTTCCACGTCTAACCTCCTCAAATTCTTTTTCGTCACGAATGTACTCTTTGTAAACAAGAGTGTAGACAGTCGTCACTTTACAATCCCCAAGTAATATAGAAAGTGGATACTTAAAATACAAACTTAAAAATCTTCATTTCCGAGCATTAACTTCTTTGGACTAGCGTTCTGACTGTATCTTCGTAGAATTGACTTTGTTCTATCTACTCACCTGGGCAGTCGGTTACTAGGAAGAACCCTAAGTAGTAGGTTATATAGATAGTTTGAGATTATCCTACAGAACTGTTGGGGACATATCGATGTTAATATGTATTTGTTGTAGTTGGTTGAGAATGGTCTAATTTTGGACTGAATCATTCAAGTAGAGCCCAAAGAATTGCCTCAAACAACGATATGGTAAGGACTATTGACTCTAATAAAGTCGAGTGGGTTTATATGCGAGTTTTTGGTCGAAACTATAGTCTAGTTTGTAGTCGAGACTATAAATAATCACGTCAATATAAAATCAAGTCTATCCGGAAAAATGCCTATAATTGAGTCTACAGACAAGTCTATAATCTAAACCACAGTTGTGCCTAATATCGAGACAATCGTTGAGTATACATACATTTATATATTCGAAATACATATAGACGTGTCTATAGCCCATTTAACAATGGTGTCTATAGTCGCGATTATAATCAAGTCTTCAATTTAATTATAAGTATAATCTATAGCAGAGTCTATAGTCTAGTATTTAGTCTATAATCGAGACTATATTCGAATCTACAGTTGAATGTATAGTACAGACTATAAATTAGATTATCTATAGTGACGACTATAGTGGATTTGACAATAAAGTCTATAGTGGAGTCTATAGTCGAGTCCATAGTAGAGTCATAGTCGAAACTACAGTTGAGTCTATAGTCGATATAATAGTTGAGCCAATAGTCCAGTCTATATTCGATAATATAATTAAGTCCATCTGCAGAGGAGTTTATAGTCGATTCGAAAATAAAATTAGTGGTTAAGTTCATAGTGGAGTCTATGGTCGAGACTATAATCGAGTCTATCTACAGCGAATTATATGATCGAGGCTATAGCGGAGTCTAAATGGAGTCAGTAATTACGCCTACAGACGTGACTACAGTCGAGTTTATAGTCGATATTATAATCGACCCTAGTGTCGAGACTAATGTCACGTCTGTAACAGAGTCGACTCTTAAGTAGACTTTTTAGGCACCATTATAATAGAGTCTATAGTCGACACTATAGTCGAGACTACAATCGAATCTGTCAACAGTCAAATCTATAGTCTAGTCAATAGTCCATAAAATGGTAGATATTACATTCGATATTCCAATAAAACCTATAGACAACACTATATTCGAGACTTTAATCAAGTCTACTCTTGAATCTATATTTAAGAGTCTACTCAATAGTAGAGATTATAGTCGGGCGTTCTATAGTACTTACTATAATCGAGTCTGTAGTACCGACTTTGATGAATATTCTATTTTATAGACTCGACTGTGGAGGAGTTTAGAGCCACGATCTGCGTCAAAACTTTAATTCCCTAAAATATAATATTTGAGACTATAGTCGGGCGTTTTATATTCGAGTCTGTAGTAACTACTTTGACGGATATTCTATTTTATAGACTCGACTGTGGAGGAGTTTAGAGCCCCGATCTGTGTCAAAACTTTAATTCCCTAAAATATAATATTTGAGATTATAGTCGGGCGTTTTATTATCGAGTCTGTAGTACCAACTTTGACGGATAATCGAGTCTTTGACGGATATTCTATTTTATAGACCGAATAGGTGTTTAGAGCCCCGATCTGTGTCAAAACTTTAATTCCCTAAAATATAATATTTTAGACTATAGTCGGGTCTTCAAAGTATAATCGAGTCTGTAGTACCAACTTTGACGGATAATCTATTTTATAGACCCGACTATAGAGGAGTTTAGAGTGCCGATCATTATCAAAACTTTAATCTCCTAAAATATAATTATTGAGTCTACAGTTGGGCATTCTATAGTACCCACTATAATCCAGTCTGTATTATAGACCTGACTGTAGAGGAGTGAATCTTGATATTTAGGTATTATCTTTATTTGATTAGGTATAGTATACAAATATAATAAGACCCTTATGGTTTTTAGTTTTGTTTGAATCTAGATTTCAGCAGAAATTTAAAGTTAACAGTAAAACGTTGAAAATACTATGGATATTAACAATTCTATAAAATAATGCACAATAATAAATTAATAGGATACAATATGAACAATTCTCTATCAAAGTGGCGCAAAATTAAATTTTATTTAAATTCTTTTCTCATTTTACCGTTTACCGTTCCCCCATTATCTCAATGTCTGGTTATATTTTACCGTAAGGTTAAATTGTCAGTTTTCATAAAAAAATAATTTTAAACGGCAGAATATCTACCGGTTAAACGATAACCGGAGGTGGGGTTAACGGGGGTAAGACTTTCAAAAGCTTCGTAAATTTTTTGCTGATGACTTTCAAAGATTAAGATCATAAAATTTTAAAATACGATATAGTTTGTGAGTGCCACTTTAAAAATAAATAGTTAAAACTTAAAGCCACACGTTAACCAATTACTTTATCAATTATGTACTATAGTTTCGGTAAATGATTTCTTTAGTACCGGTACATGAAAAAATTTTAATTAAAGCTATTATTTAATTATAAAAAACAAAATAGTTCTATCATGTAAGGAATGAAAAAATACAACGATGATACTTCATACAACATCGGTTATTAAAAATATATAAATAGACACAATTTTATAAGTTTTATAAAGGATAATTTATGCATGTATCAGAATAGGCGAAAGTGCCATTTTCTTAGGACCTTAAGATTATGGCCTTATGTAAAGTAGCGTTGAACCAAAAAAAATTTTAATACGTCCTATTTAAAAACAAAAATAAAATAAAAGAAACAACTAAAACTTAATTTATAACGAAATATAACCAATTTTTTATAAAAAAAAACATAAACAAAGGAGATTTTTTAGTTATGGCCCAAAACTTTAGAAATGTTTTATTTTATACAAAAAAAGTTAATCCAATACTCTACTATAATTCTAACTAAAATATTTATAAATAATTTTCTATACCCAGCCACAACTACTCTCTAAGCCAATAACTTTTAGATTTGATTTTTTTTACAAACGATTTTCTACGATTTCACACTATCAATAATTAATTTAATTAAAAGTTAAGTAAATAAACAAAAAAAAAAAGTAAAAACAACTTTATAGTATTGTAGTTTTAAATAAAAATAATAAAATCAAATAAAATTAAAAAAATGTTAAAGATTAATTTAATTATAAAAGAAATAAAAATAATATTAAAATAAAATGAAAACAAAACTGTTAAAAGATCGTTTAGTTTTATTATAACAGTTTTATATAACAGTGCAGCAGTCATTTTCTATGTGTACAGAAAACTGTGGACCATTAGTATTAACTCTGTGTACTCAATTTTTTATAATCAGCTCTTATGCCCCGGTAAAAAGACCTTAAAGTTTAATTGCCAGCTTTCATTTGATACCAATATTAGCATCATACAAACGAATCATTAAAATATTCGTTTGAAATTGTAAGTCCTTTAAACATTGAAGTCCTTTTATAAAAATCGTATTACGCAGAATTGCTAAAATTGGAATCTAGTTTCACATGCATATTAACTTTATGGGTAAAAGCTTTTTTTCAAAACTGTTACAGGGTGTAATTAAGCATATTTAAAACTAGTAATAAGCTTTAAACGATTTATTATACTAGTATTTCATGGGATTATATAGAAATAACCAGGAAACATTTTTCATATGTAGGTGTAAACTTATCACAAAATGTATTTATTATTTTTTCAGCTGATAATAGAAATCAGCCCTGAAATTTGGTTATTCGAAAGTAGTGTAATACGCTGTAAACTACATCTATCTAACATGGCATAATCTAAGTGATATTAAAGTGATCAGTCATGATTTTGAATAAAGAATTTTAAGACTATTAATAGCTTTACCTTTAGATCTTAATTCTTTCTTATTTGATGACTTCTGAACTCTTATTTGAGTACTTCGGTTAATTCACTCTTTTATTATGTTATTACTCTATACTTTTCCCGCCTTAAACTATTCTCCTACAGACAAGTACAAAGGGATCTTTAGGACCGTCTGAAGAACTTAATCGAATAGATCTACCCAAATTGAGTTTTGCTAGAACTAGGAAAATTTTTACTAAAGACACGTTATTAGGACCGAATTATAGTTGATAATGTCGATATTTTTCTACTCATTATTGTAATTTGCTGTTGTTGTACTACTATCATGGTCAAGTAAACGATCCTAGCGGACGACAAAACACCACCTGACAAGGAATCGTCAAAGTGAATCTGGGAACAGATTACAATACCGACAAAGTGAGTCTGTGGCACAACATGATCTTTATCAACACTGAAAAAAAATGAACACTGAATCGGAAATTTCCTCGTTTGAACTATAACAACCTTCATCCCCTTGATGTTTAAAGTTAATATTTAAACAAATCTGAGAACATGGAGATGGTGATATAAAATTTCCCTTTCTCAAACCAACATATTTATATAACAAATCGAAATATTGGCCTATTGGCCTACACATATATTAAGGTTCCTTATTACACTGAAGGGTGATCGAGTCATGGGGATCTGTCTAACAGTTGAGAAAACTCTAGATCGTATTGGCAATCGGACCATATTTGACCTTATATATGGGGTTCATTTCAATGTTTATAACTGCCTTAAACATTTAAGTTTTTATGAAACGAAATCTTTCTATCAAATGTATAAAGATCGGTACATAATTGATCCTATCCTGTATATAACCCCTGTTATATAAAATCAGTTTATTATTCAAATTTCTTTTTAAAATCAAGGAAGCTTTCCTAATTAGATATATGATACATTCAAGATCAGAATACCGACAGATGATTAATGGCCATAGCAAACCTTTTCCTTCGGGAAAATGTAATCTTAACTAATTATTAAAAATATATTGTGATATTTTTAAAGTTCTGATCTCTATTAGTTTATTTAGGTTAGATTAGGTTGATAGTAGGATGTATGTATCTACATCAAATACGAAGAAATACACCTAGGCCACTATCGGGCCTGTTGTGCGCTCCTTTTAATATAAAATGTTTGTTGGTTAAAATAAAAACTTTATATAGTATTCACTGAATGTATTATTGTCCGATGATCAGAAACTCAGTTTCCTGGACGTAATTCCTAAGAATTTTCCAATCAGTATTCGTGAGGGATGTTATATCCGAAATAATATCACTCCCAAGATATTTGGATCTAATTTCGGTGAAAGCCTGCCAATGACAAAGAAAATGCTCCAGAGTTAGGGTTACCCCATAGGATCTACATTAACACTCATCGATTGAGAGGTATTCCTACTTGAGATTCTTAAAAAGGCTGTTCCTAGGGATACTCAAATGTATATAGTATGTACATATATATTCATTATCGCGAAATAATGAATTTGATCAAAGTTGCTATTCAAATGTTTTTTTTTTTTTTTTGTTGTTGTATTGTATATTTTAACAAGCAATTAATTTGTATTATTTTAAGCAATTAAATTTATTTTTATATACTTTCACATCATTACACACAATAAATTTAAATTATGTATTCTTAAATTAGCTACAAAAATACTTCATAGAAGCAGGAATTCAAAACAAAAACATTTTGTTTATTTTTTCTTTTTTCGATTCATGGTACAGTTGTCATTGATAATTTCGTACCACCTAAGAGCTCAGTTGATAATACTTGGGCAATGTTTGTGGGTAATGTTGTTGCTTCTGTTAAAATGCTGCTGCTGGTAGAGGATGATGACACTTCAATGGAATTAGTAGTTAACAGCTGTTTTTGTACCACATTACAGGTGACATGACCTAATTGTAAATACGATAACAGGCAGGCAGTAAGAAATGTCAGTAGCAGGGTCAACCAAAATATTAAAAACATAATGCTTCGTAAATTTTGCCACCAAGGATCTAATTGATATGGTAGCAATTCATCCAAAGTCAAGGAGGAGGTATAGCTAAAATAAAAATACTATATGTTTTAACAGGTTCTTAGTAAATCAATTTAAATAATTACTCATTAATACAGAATATAGACTCATACTCGGAAGCATCCTTAGTCACATAAACTATATGATTTTTATCGTCCATAGCATGGTAACCACCCACAACTACTGTTTCACCATTATTATTATTATTTTGATCACCATTATTAGGATATTTTTGTTCACGATAATTCTTCAATAAGGCTGATGTTTCATTAGGAGCCATTTTTTTCTTTTAGTTTTATAGACTTTTTTGTTTTTAGTGAAAATTTTCCCCACAAGACTGCTGAATTTGCTCGAGTAAATTCGGCCTTTTTTGAAAATGATCATTAACACAAAAAAATATTTTATTTAATTTATTTGGTCCTTATGACGAATACCGGGAGGCTGTTTGTTGTCGACACCTCAAGTATTGTTGTTCAACTGTTTTGATTGTTTTCAAATTTCGCATAGTTAAATCATTTTCGTTGTTTCTTTAATTTTTATTATTTTCCGTAATTTAAATAATGACAACAACAAAAAACACACACAAATATATACATATGTAAACAATATTATCTTGAAATTAACTATGTAGATTTTTTTCATAATTCGCATCACTCTTCTGAAGCAGCAAGTGATAACAACAACAATAAAAAATAGCTAGGGGTAAATCCCACTTTACTACCACTCTTTTAAATGATCTTATATTAAAAGAGAGTAAGCACAAGTAAGACGCTTAGAGATAATTGTAATAAAATTTACGTCGGCTAGAGTATTATGTGAATTACTTCAGTTCTAAAATAAAAATTAATATTTTCTATAGTTTAGTCTATAGTCTAATCTATAGTCTAGTCTATAGTCTAGTCTATAGTCTAGTCTATAGTCTAGTCTATAGTCTAGCCTATAGTCTAGTCTATAGTCTAGTCTATAGTCTAGTCTATAGTCTAGTCTATAGTCTAGTCTATAGTCTAGTCTATAGTCTAGTCTAGTCTAGTCTATAGTCTAGTCTATAGTCTAGTCTATAGTCTAGTCTATAGTCTAGTCTATAGTCTGTCTATAGTCTTGTCTATAGTCTAGTCTATAGTCTAGTCTATAGTCTAGTCTATTAGTCTAGTCTATAGTCTAGTCTATAGTCTAGTCTATAGTCTAGTCTATAGTCTAGTCTATAGTCTAGTCTATAGTCTAGTCTATAGTCTAGTCTATAGTCTAGTCTATAGTCTAGTCTATAGTCTAGTCTATAGTCTAGTCTATAGTCTAGTCTATAGTCTAGTCTATAGTTTAGTCTATAGTCTAGTCTATAGTCTAGTCTATAGTCTAGTCTATAGTCTAGTCTATAGTCTAGTCTAGTCTATAGTCTAGTCTATAGTCTAGTCTATAGTCTAGTCTATAGTCTAGTCTATAGTCTAGTCTATAGTCTAGTCTATAGTCTAGTCTATAGTCTAGTCTAGTCTAGTCTATAGTCTAGTCTATAGTCTAGTCTATAGTCTAGTCTATAGTCTAGTCTATAGTCTAGTCTATAGTCTAGTCTATAGTCTAGTCTATAATCTAGTCTATAGTCTAGTCTATAGTCTAGTCTATAGTCTAGTCTATAGTCTAGTCTATAGTCTAGTCTATAGTCTAGTCTATAGTCTAGTCTATAGTCTAGTCTATAGTCTAGTCTATAGTCTAGTCTATAGTCTAGTCTATAGTCTAGTCTATAGTCTAGTCTATAGTCTAGTCTATAGTCTAGTCTATAGTCTAGTCTATAGTCTAGTCTATAGTCTAGTCTATAGTCTAGTCTATAGTCTAGTCTATAGTCTAGTCTATAGTCTAGTCTATAGTCTAGTCTATAGTCTAGTCTATAGTCTAGTCTATAGTCTAGTCTATAGTCTAGTCTATAGTCTAGTCTATAGTCTAGTCTATAGTCTAGTCTATAGTCTAGTCTATAGTCTAGTCTATAGTCTAGTCTATAGTCTAGTCTATAGTCTAGTCTATAGTCTAGTCTATAGTCTAGTCTATAGTCTAGTCTATAGTGTAGTCTATAGTCTAGTCTATAGTCTAGTCTATAGTCTAGTCTATAGTCTAGTCTATAGTCTAGTCTATAGTCAAGTCTATAGTCTAGTCTATAGTCTAGTCTATAGTCTAGTCTATAGTCTAGTCCACAGTCTAGTCTATGGCCTAGTCTATAGTATAGTCGATAGTATAAAGCGGCCCCAATATCCGATAATGGACATATACTCATCTGCAGAAATTCGTTGAGAGTGTGTAAATGTAAAGTACATTCTATAAAAATTCCTTTTCAATTTCTATTGGAATTTCCTTTTTGGAACATTTTTGAAAAATAAGCCCGTTTTAAGCATTTCCAAATAAAATCCAACTTCCATAGAATCCATCTTATCTTTTGACCTATCTAACAGTTTCATTTCATTTTTCATTTCTTATCACTGTTAGCCCAAATTGTAACGATTCATTTACATATTCGCAAAAAAGAAAAATTAAAAATAAAACAAATAAATTGTTTGTTTTGTTTGCTTGTCTTTACGGTCTGGAGATAAGATACAGCATTAACTGGAGTATACACGATTTTTTTATTATTACGCGTCATTTGAATGTTTTTTTATAGAATACAATACAAAGTACTTTTGTCTGTTTTTGGACTATATATTTTTTGGGAGGTAATAACTCATCAATATTACTTATTTTATTTCCTTATTGGTTGTTACATAATGTTTTGTAATTAACATTTATTTCTGAACTGATAAGCTGAACTTCTAGAGAAAAACGTAATGTTGCAAAAATACATAATAAGAATAATAAATCTTATTATTGTAGAAAAAAAATTGTTTTCGAAACTCTATTAACAGGAACGAGGAAGCATGGAGGAGAAAATTTTCCGATTAGATTTTAAATAGACAAATTTAACGTGATCATTTTCAAGGAGACATAATACAATACTTTCAAAATATTGTTTCACATTCATGGCCAAATAATTTAAAATTTCTTTCCTATCACTAAGTGTAAACTTAAATTAAACACAAATAACAATAACAATTATAATAATTATAATAAAAACAAAAATAAAAATGAACTACAAAACAAAAGATTATTTAAACATACCGTAATTCCTTAAAAGATTACATCAGCCGCGTACCAGTGATCCATATTACGATGATGATGTCGAACAATCATCGATCGTTCGTTCGTTCGATTGCAAAATGGTGATGAATGTTGAAAGATGTTTTAAAAACAGGCAAACAAACTTCATTGTCAATTGTGAGGAGTGTGTAAAGTTGTTCAATCTGCAAATAAGTAGATTCCCATACACTTCTGTTATGCCTCAATGCATAAATCAAGTTGCTGATAATGCAACATCATCATCATCACAATTTTCCTAAGCGTAAATATACTGTTAGAAACAAATTAATTGTTATATTAAGTCAAATATAAATATAAACAAATTAAATTAAATAAGTAATATTAAACAAAAACAATGAACAAATTGTATGTAAAAGTCATTAAACTTTATTTGTGTTTGATCTTGTTGATGGCGATGATGGTAATGATGATGTTGGTGTTATATGAATGTTTCGTGTGATATTTTTGTTTAAAAAAGATGATGTATGTACATTGTGTACGTATGTATGTAAATATATTATGGTTTTATATTAATTTATAGAGTTTAAAGATTGATTCGTTTTATTCGTTTGTGATTTATTAATCACACGTATTCTGGCTGCTTGAGAATTAAATTGAGCTTTATGCAATTGTACAGGTTGTTGATTCAAATTCCAGGGAGTAAAATTGAAATGCTTTAAATCATCACAGTCTATGATAACGTTTGGTTCATTTTTGCGATGTTCCATAACATATTTACGTATCTGTTTGATATCATCGGAATTACGGCAAATAATTTGGGATAAAGTTGTTCCATAAATCGTTCTTAATTGATCTGAAAATTAAAAATTATAAAAGATTTTTATTAATTAATTGAATTACATATAAATAATACCTTTAGTAAACTTTTGTGGTCCAATTTTACGTTCATACCAAAATGAATCTCCTCGCTTTAATCGCATAAATTGATCAGCCACCATGCAGGCTAATAAAGGACCAAAAATAGCTCCTTCTAAGGGAGGCTCACTCAAAGCTCCTGTATAAACATCGACATCATTGGGAGAGCTGTAATCAGATTAGAAATTAACTACAACTAGCTTAAGATTCACTTGAAAACAGGTCTATCGCCAGTTCAAAATCTCTCTGAATTATAATTTCCGTTAAAGGAAAGTTAAAGCAGAGCCCAAGATTTTCAAAGAACTCCGTTGCTATCTCAACTAACTAACTAATGAACTAACTAACTAACTAACTAACTAACTAACTAACTAACTAACTAACTAACTAACTAACTAACTAACTAACTAACTAACTAACTAACTAACTAACTAACTAACTAACTAACTAACTAACTAACTAACTAACTAACTAACTAACTAACTAACTAACTAACTAACTAACTAACTAACTAACTAACTAACTAACTAACTAACTAACTAACTAACTAACTAACTAACTAACTAACTAACTAACTAACTAACTAACTAACTAACTAACTAACTAACTAACTAACTAACTAACTAACTAACTAACTAACTAACTAACTAACTAACTAACTAACTAACTAACTAACTAACTAACTAACTAACTAACTAACTAACTAACTAACTAACTAACTAACTAACTAACTAACTAAACTAACTAACTAACTAACTAACTAACTAACTAACTAACTACTAACTACTAACTACTAACTAACTACTACTAACTAACTGACTAACTAACTAACTAACTAACTAACTAACTAACTAACTAACAAACTAACTAACTAACTAACAAACTAACAAACTAACAAACTAACAAACTAACAAACTAACAAACTAACTAACTAACTAACTAACTAACTAAATAACTAACTAACTTACTGAATAACTAACTAACTAATTTCTTGAAAAGAAACCTGGATCAAAATGTTCATGCCACAAGATTTCCGTTAAAATATTTACCTATAGATTTCTCGTATCGATTTCAATGAATCCTTATCCACAGCTTGTGCCATTTGCTCCCAAGTATCTACCGGTGGCAGTTGACAATGTTTTCTATAAACTGGATAAGCGGGTAAACCATGATCTCGTCCTCGTTGAATGTTCAACGAAACTAAGTCCAAACCGCAAGCGGGTAAATGATCATCTGAGATATCTTCAAATAGATGTTGTGTAACTTCCAAGGAAAAAAAGCGATCTACGCGTTGTACTGGCGTATTGGTAGCAATTAAAAGAGCTGTGTCAATGCCACCACTTTGCCACAGAGAAAAAGGATTAAATAACATTTTATGCAGTTCCATATACTCAGGATTACTATGATTGCTGGTGACATTAAAAAGACCCTAGAAAAGTGAAAAACGTTTATCTTTTCTTAAATAAACTCTACAATAATTAAAATTACCGGCAATAGAGTATGAGCAAAGCGAAATGCTGCCGCTGCAAAACAATTGGCTATAGAAGGATTTACATTACGATCATAAGTATCAGGAGCATCCAGGTTCTCCATTTGGGGAGTTATTCCCTTCCTATCCGCCCATTCTCTGCCTAATAGTATGGGTAAAAATTCATTGTAAGTTATATGGGCAATTTGGGCAGCTACTATTCTACGCGCTTCTTGAAATACGGTTTCATCATCCCAATCGGGATTTTCTTTCTGTAGACCATTAGCCAAGTAATTATGTTGCCGTGACCACAGTAAATGCATGGATGTTAATAATAAATTTTCATTAGCTCGATCATCACCAGATTCAAAACAATATTTCCCTTGTTTTATCATGACTTCGCGATTACAGCCATCATCTGGATTTGTGGATATGGGCAATAATTCCCTATGATCTTCGGTAATATACATGCGCAGCAGACCATTGTTTAAAGTACGTAGATGATTCTGACGCAAATCTGAATTTCCATAGACCACTGAAGCATCTATAAATGAAGTAGCTTGATTTAATTGTTGTCTAGGACCAAAATGACCCGTCGGAGCCGGAGCTGAGCGCACAAAATTCATACAACTTAAATTATATGCCTTATAATAAGGATCATCGGGTAATACTGTAACAGGAAAACATTCTGGATGTGTTAAGTTTAGAGGTTGTCCACAACAATTTATGGACTCGCCTTCCAGAGAGGATGTAAGAGAAGTGGCTGTTATGTCGTGATCTAAAAATTGTCCAAATACCGCCAACATTACAGTGAAATTTGAATCTGTTTCATAGGAAGCACGATTTATTTTCAATGACACTTGACGAGCGGGAGGCAATAAACTGGTGCCATTCTTAAGCACTCCTCTGGGTTGAGAAATACCATCTGCATAGTCGGGATTTACCATACGTCGATAGGGTATTAAAGCTGCTCCATAATGACGAGGATGATTTTTATTATTACATATGCCGCTAGAACGACGATATTTGGCATTGAAGTCACATATTATATCAGATGTAGGATCAGGTAATACGATTTTGGGTCCATGGCCTATATTTGAACGAACACGACCACGTGTATAGTTAAATTTCTCCGCTAAACTATCTGTGGCTTCATTTTCCACAAATCCTCTACGCGCCAATTTCCTCGAAGCCGCATTTGAACTTAATGAACGGTAATGACGAAATGCTGGTGAATCAACCGGTGTTGGCTCTAAACTCTCTTCCAATATTTCACGATCTCCCAGGGCTTTAATGCCCTCACTTATAGCCCAATCAGTATCATTGTGTTGCAAATGAAAACGTCTCAGAGACCAATCATCTTCCGGCTCATCAGGTATGGGAAACTTTATGGCTTCTAATCTTTCTGATAAAACCGTTGAATTGACCGTTTGATTTAAATTATTGGCTGACTCATTTGTAGCCAACAGTAAAACGGGCGGATACGGATATTCATTGTTTATGGCTAAGACAATAATCAAAGATGCAATAATGATGACTCTATTGATAAAATAAATGAACAAAACATCAAGTATAACAGTTTCTCTTTGAAATGTTATACACTTGTGGTATTTCTACTAATTCTATAATATTTTTTTTTTTTTTTTATTTTGTTTTGCTTTTAGCATTTTTATTTTTTTATAATTTATATTTCCCAGTCACTACACAAATATTTTGCTAAAGTGTTAAAGCCACAAAACAACATATGATTGTTTTTGTTTTATGTTGGAAGTTGTTTACTTTTAGTGGCAAGAAGTCTATTGCCACCGAATGTAGGCCAATAAACTGGGTAAGTAATTTAATATTCCTTATGTATTATAAAAGAGAATAACTTTAAAAATAAATAAACAAACAAAATTAAAATATATGTTAAGGTTTAAACAACGGGTTTTATGTAATTCCGTAGCCTTAGGAGTGCAAAGAGTTTTCTAAGCCAGTATGTAGGCATATTAGTCTGCAATAAAGAAGACAAATTTTCCGAATTTTTTTATAAATATGAGATATTTTCTGAATTTTTTTTAAAAATTGAGAAATTTTTCGAAAATTTGACATAAAGAGAGAACATTTTCTATAAAAAAAAGAACATTTCCGGAAATTCCATATAAAAGTGAAATTTTACGAACAATTTCTATAAAAAGAGAAATTTTATGAACAGTTTTCAATAAAAATGAAATTTCCGAAAAAATTTTATAAGAAGAGAAGTTTTCTGAAAAGTTTCTATGAAAAGGAAAGTTTTCTCCGAAAATTTTCTATGAAAAGGGAAGTTTTACGAAAATTTTCTATAAAGAAAGAAATTGAATGAATCCGTTCGTCATTTTTTGTATATTTTTGGCCTTAATTCTCTGTGTCCACACAAAATATGCACCATCATACGAACCTCGAACTTGCTCATTCTGAGAAGCTTCTCGTAGGAGTCATGGGTTTCTCTCGCCGAATGTTTCTAATTAGCCCTCGTTGCATTCGTTACCTTCCTCGATTTCCTTTTCCTTTACGAAAAGTACATTCGTTGCCGTTTATTCCGGAGTGGCTGGTCAAAAAGTTACACACCGTTAAGCTTCTGGCCTTCTGGCCGTGTCAATCCAATAAAATGTTGATATTTTAAATTTCGAGAGCCTATAACGCTTTACAATGCTGAAACCTATGCCGTGTCAAACCGCCAATTAGTTTCATATATTTCAACGTGATTGATCGTACAAGATTAACACTGGTGGCTTAAAATAAAGGATGAGAGATGGCCTCTATGTTGAGCGCATTGGAACGAGAGTTTGCATTGAGAGCATTAAAACGAGAGTTTCTTCAAACTTCTTGGTCAGTGCAGGATTATCAGCAACAAAACGGTCTACAAATTGGCTTAGATTATATCGAGTATACGGATTGGATACTGACGGTGAGCATGCTCTAAAAGCTATTAAACATGGCCCTTAAATGTCGTACATCTCTTAATGAGATGACATTACGTGATAGGACTATATTTCATACCTTCGATTACCAGATACCTTGCACAACCACACTAGCAAGTGTAAATACCGTGATCGACTGAGGCTACCTGCTAAATAGTAAAGATTATGTAGTCTATATACAACACAAGTCTTTTGGGCTTCGTAGTAGAGGTTTAAATCGCCCAAGAAACTACTTCTGCAAAAGTTGTCATGATGAACAGAAATACGAGGATGCCACTCACTTTTAAGGTCACCACATAGTCCTAGAAGAATATAGGTTTAGCTAGCACTATTTAACGGATTTATTTGAGGTAAACATTCGAAAGATAAATTATTTTATTCGTGCGACTACCTAATTTGAGTAGGATGCAGATGACGGTGATCCTTTCTCTTTACAGATATCACAAAAGGTAAACACGTAGACAATCTGCTTACAAAACCCAATGTCGTATACAGATGATTGCACCGTCATTCCTTTAGGTGTCAACATCGACGACATAAGCACCAAAATCACCCAATACTTGGCCACCATTACAGACTTTTTTCAGAAACGCAAACTTAGGTTATCTGCTTCTAAATCCTCGGTATCACTTTTCACCTCTTGGACCAAAGAAGTAAGAACGGCGCTAAATATCTCCGTCGAAGGACGTACTATCCCCACGGTTCAAAACCCGAAAATATTAGGGGTAGCCTTTGACAGCCTCCTTCACTTCGCAAACTACATCAAAAAAAAAAGGTTCGAAACAGAAACAAGGTCCTTAAAGCTTTAGCTGGTAACTCTTGGGACATGGATAAAGAGACGATTGTAGCGACAGACTGTCAATTGCAAGCGCCCGGGAAATGTTGCATCAAATGGAGGTCACCGATTCCATTAATGGCTACAGATGCAACAGAGTTCTAAATGAACACCCCCCTGCGATATCGGATTATGAGAGACAATTACCCAGCCACTCTAGAACCATCTTGGCACAATTAAGAGCCGGCTGGTGCAGTTTCCGCAACTGCTACCGTGAACGTATAGTTTCAGGCACTTTAAATCGTTGCCGGTTTAATCCTGAAATTTCGGACATTGCATAGAAATCTTTTAACAGAAGAATTAGTAAATATTATATAGCAGAAAAATTTGACTCCAATATCCTAGTGAGAGAAAATAAATCACTTTAAAGGGATAATCATGATTGGAACAGGTGATATAGTAGCTTTCATTTCCAGACTACAAAGTTAATACATCAGTTAACAAACTTAGCTTAAAATTCAAAGATTTTTTACAAGTTATCGAAATCAGGAGGACGGGTTCTTGTTATTGTATAGATTTGTCACCATTCATCATTTGTAAATATGTTATAGGTCTTCAAGTTTATTTAGAATTAAATAGTTTTCCTTTGAAGCAATATGCAAAAATTTGGAAAGTTGTTTAAAGGATATTTTATTCTTAATAACGATTAACCAACCTAAAGAACTAATTTAAAAAGTCCTTAAATGAAGTTTAGGTTTTCTATAGAATTATTATTGAGGAAAAACATTAATCCTTAATTGTTATGTTAAAACAGTGGTTTATTTGTGCAGTGACTAGTCATTAACAAAATTCACTTCTTTTTCCACAACTTTTTTTCATCATTTCATCACATTTTTTCTTTTACAGCACTCACAAAAATGTTAATCCTAAACACCATTGCAATTGATGCATTTTATGACGACGCGAACGAGGAGAAACACCTCCAGGGAAAACATATACCGGACCGGGTGGTGGTTGCGGCACAAAAGTATTAGTTAAAGGAGTAGTTTCATCCGCCATTTTCTTTATTTTTAAAAATTAAACTTTACTTATTTTTTTATTATTAATAACAACTAAAACACAAGATGTTAGATCTTATGAAAATGATGTTGTAAACGTAACGAAGTCTAAAAAGTAACTAAACTCTTGGAAAACAAATTTAAAGTAGACGTAAGTCAGTCAATAGACGCGATTGTGATTTACTTAAAGCATTACTAAGGTTTCAATGGGCGAATAAAACATAAAATTGTATAGACAAAACTATAATATGATATTAGATGAAAATAGACATATTCGCATATTTTAATAATGATTTGTTTTGTAATGAGAGATTAAAAATTAATTCAAATAATTACTGAATGAATCTGATTGTTTGTAAATTGAACCGTAATTTTAAAATACTACAAAATAAAAGTAGCAATTGGGTTATTGAAACCCAATGACTTGGAAAATGTATTAAAATACTTTGTTAGAAATTTTATAACAAAAAATGCAATTTTATTATTTTTAACACTAAAAACTTAAACAAACTAATTGGAGGTTTTACATTTCCATCATTTCATCGCTTTTCTTATAGGCATCATTAATATATTCATAAGTAAGTTTAAGCAGATACTGAAATGATTTATTACTAACTAAATCTTCTAAATCTGTGCTACTGATAAACTCTTCCATGGGCGGTAGAAAACTTTCAAAGTCACCATCTAATACAGAATAAAAAAAAGATTTCAAAAATTATAAAGAAATAAATATTACAAAAATGAAATACTTACCCATCAAATGACACAATTCAATGAGTTTAAAGAATAACAAATTCTGTATATAATCTACAGCAGAATTTGTATCATATTCAACCCAATTGTCTCTTAAAATAGCAGCACACCAAATTTTGTGTCTCGCCTCAAAAGGATCTTCCAAATAGTTTAATAATTCCAAGGCCTTGCGGAAATCAAATTCTGTAGCTGTTTCGTTCTCTTCGGCAATAAATAACTTTATTTAGAAAACACAATGTAATTAGTAAGGAACAAAATATTTCAACAACTCCACTTACATTGATAATCTCCTCAATTTTTAAAACTTTTTGATGTTCAACATCATAACCAAAGGCCAGTAATAAATGTTCACTTAATTGCTCCTGATAATCCACAATATTTAATTCAGCATTTATGGTTTCTAATTGTAATGATAAATCAGAACCCGTCGAAGCAAATGCTGATAGTTTGGCCAACGATAACATGGACTAATAGGAATTTGAAAATAACATTAATTCTATTATGGGCAACATATTATAAGAAATAAAAATAATTCCCACATACCTTTTTCCTTTGCACAAATTCTGTTTCACTTTGAGCCAATTGAAATAGTATTTTAGAGGCTCTTTCGAAGTCACCATTAAATACAAGTTGTATCCAACCCAATGTTGGATGATCACGCATAAATTGTGATAATGCGGCTTGATTGCCTTTAAAACGTTCAAATACTTCACCTTGACGATTCTGTCTTAAATGCCAATTAATGGCAAATTGTGAGAAATCATATTCTTCGTACTTTTTTATGTATGAATCGAGACGCTCTTGATTGTTCGTAACATCACAGAGTAAAACAAGACTTTGGAAATCCAAGTATTTCTCAGCTAATTTAGCAGCGGCTTCATATTGATTGTTATCAACTGAAAGGAAGAGAAAAGAAATTGAAGATGTTAAAAATAATAATTAAAATATCTTCAATTCTGAGATTTTTTTTACTCGGAAATATACTTCGACTATAGACAAGACTGCAGACTATAGACTAGACTATAGACTATAGACTAGACTTTAGAGTAGACTATAGACTAGGCTATTTGATAAAATCGAACAAATTCTTGGTAGAATTCTAGTCTATAGTCTAGTCTATAGTCTAGTCTATAGTCTAGTCTATAGTCTAGTCTATAGTCTAGTCTATAGTCTAGTCTAGTCTATAGTCTAGTCTATAGTCTAGTCTATAGTCTAGTCTATAGTCTAGTCTATAGTCTAGTCTATAGTCTAGTCTATAGTCTAGTCTATAGTCTAGTCTATAGTCTAGTCTATAGTCTAGTCTATAGTCTAGTCTATAGTCTAGTCTATAGTCTAGTCTATAGTCTAGTCTATAGTCTAGTCTATAGTCTAGTCTTAGTCTCTAGTCTTATAGTCTAGTCTATAGTCTAGTCTATAGTCTAGTCTATAGTCTAGTCTATAGTCTAGTCTATAGTCTAGTCTATAGTCCTAGTCTATAGTCTAGTCTATAGTCTAGTCTATAGTCTAGTCTATAGTCTAGTCTATAGTCTAGTCTATAGTCTAGTCTATAGTCTAGTCTATAGTCTAGTCCTATAGTCTAGTCTATAGTCTAGTCTATAGTCTAGTCTATAGTCTAGTCTATAGTCTAGTCTATAGTCTAGTCTATAGTCTAGTCTATAGTCTAGTCTATAGTCTAGTCTATAGTCTAGTCTATAGTCTAGGTCTATAGTCTAGTCTATAGTCTAGTCTATAGTCTAGTCTATAGTCTAGTCTATAGTCTAGTCTATAGTCTAGTCTATAGTCTAGTCTATAGTCTAGTCTATAGTCTAGTCTATAGTCTAGTCTATAGTCTAGTCTATAGTCTAGTCTATAGTCTAGTCTATAGTCTAGTCTATAGTCTAGTCTATAGTCTAGTCTATAGTCTAGTCTATAGTCTAGTCTATAGTCTAGTCTATAGTCTAGTCTATAGTCTAGTCTAGTCTAGTCTATAGTCTAGTCTATAGTCTAGTCTATAGTCTAGTCTATTAGTCTAGTCTATAGTCTAGTCTATAGTCTAGTCTATAGTCTAGTCTATAGTCTAGTCTATAGTCTAGTCTATAGTCTAGTCTATAGTCTAGTCTATAGTCTAGTCTATAGTCTAGTCTATAGTCTAGTCTATAGTAGTCTAGTCTATAGTCTAGTCTATAGTCTAGTCTATAGTCTAGTCTATAGTCTAGTCTATAGTCTAGTCTATAGTCTAGTCTATAGTCTAGTCTATAGTCTAGTCTATAGTCTAGTCTATAGTCTAGTCTATAGTCTAGTCTATAGTCTAGTCTATAGTCTAGTCTATAGTCTAGTCTATGAGTCTAGTCTATAGTCTAGTCTAGTCTAGTCTATAGTCTGTCTATAGTCTAGTCTAGTCTAGCTATAGTCTAGTCTATAGTCTAGTCTATAGTCTAGTCTAGTCTATATCTAGTCTATAGTCTAGTCTAGTCTATAGTCTAGTCTAGTCTATAGTCTAGTCTATAGTCTAGTCTAGTCTAGTCTATAGTCTAGTCTATAGTCTAGTCTAGTCTAGTCTAGTCTATAGTCTAGTCTATAGTCTAGTCTATAGTCTAGTCTATAGTCTAGTCTATAGTCTAGTCTATAGTCTAGTCTATTAGTCTAGTCTATCGTCTAGTCTATAGTCTTAGTCTATAGTCTAGTCTATAGTCTAGTCTATAGTCTAGTCTAAGTCTAGTCTAGCTCTATAGTCTAGTCTAGTCTAGTCTATAGTCTAGTCTAGTCTAGTCTATAGGTCTATCTAGTCTATAGTCTAGGTCTGATAGTCTATCTATAGTCTAGTCTATAGTCTAGTCTATAGTCTAGTCTATAGTCTAGTCTATAGTCTAGTCTATAGTCTAGTCTATAGTCTAGTCTATAGTCTAGTCTATAGTCTAGTCTATAGTCTAGTCTAGTCTAGTCTATAGTCTAGTCTATAGTCTAGTCTATAGTCTAGTCTATAGTCTAGTCTATAGTCTAGTCTATAGTCTAGTCTATAGTCTAGTCTATAGTCTAGTCTATAGTCTAGTCTATAGTCTAGTCTATAGTCTAGTCTATAGTCTAGTCTATAGTCTAGTCTATAGTCTAGTCTATAGTCTAGTCTATAGTCTAGTCTATAGTCTAGTCTATAGTCTAGTCTATAGTCTAGTCTATAGTCTAGTCTATAGTCTAGTCTATAGTCTAGTCTATAGTCTAGTCTATAGTCTAGTCTATAGTCTAGTCTATAGTCTAGTCTATAGTCTAGTCTATAGTCTAGTCTATAGTCTAGTCTATAGTCTAGTCTATAGTCTAGTCTATAGTCTAGTCTATAGTCTAGTCTATAGTCTAGTCTATAGTCTAGTCTATAGTCTAGTCTATAGTCTAGTCTATAGTCTAGTCTATAGTCTAGTCTATAGTCTAGTCTATAGTCTAGTCTATAGTCTAGTCTATAGTCTAGTCTATAGTCTAGTCTATAGTCTAGTATAGTCTAGTCTATAGTCTAGTCTATAGTCTAGTCTATAGTCTAGTCTATATAGACTATAGAGTAGACTATAGACTAGAATTCTACCAAGAATTTGTTCGATTTTATCAAATAGCCTAGTCTATAGTCTACTCTAAAGTCTAGTCTATAGTCTAGTCTATAGTCTAATCTATAGTCTAGTCCAGAGACTGAAAATAACTGGGCCACATAACCAAAGTATGAATTGTAATTTATTTTTGTTTTTTAAAATAAATCACTCAGAATAACAGTTATAAAATGATTTTTACTTAAATGGTTTAGTATAACCTTTACTACTTTTGTTTTGTTACTTATGATTTTGGCTGAGCACTTGGGTTTTGAATTCCTTTTTTCTCTTGCTTATAAGAAAGTGGGAGAGTATATTGTTGTTGTTTGCTATGATTTCTGAAGATAGTATGTCTGTCCTTATCGTGTATTTACATTTGCGATTTATTGTTTTGCTTTTAAAAATAAAAATCATTAGCAGACCTTTTCAAAAATGTTTACAAAATAAAAATCAATTGTAGCGAGTTATTTTGTTTTTCCTTTCGGTTTCTCTCAACCACTTATAAAAAAAATCTAACATAAAGGTTTCTCTCAGTGATAAACTGCAAAAACACAATTATAAATGGTGATCACAGCAATTAACCTTATAAAAACAAAGTGGACTCGTTATTTTCAGTCTCTGGTCTAGTCTATAGTCTAACTAGACCAGCGGTTCCCACAGATTTTTACTTCGCGGACCCCTTGAAGAACTTATTTTATTTCGCGGACCCCCATACATATTTTTTTTTCCTGTACATTGAGAATATATAATATTTCAGATAGGTTTTCAATTGCATGTTTTGAAGATAGAATGACTTCTTTGTTGATATGTTAACATGATGTTTAATTTTATGATCGTGTGATCTTTCATCTTCATTTTTCTTCAAGGTAGCGAAAAGGTTTCTTTATCAAATATTGTCACATGTGCTTAAGGAGTCACGTTTCAAAAATTTGTTGCGATTGCAAAGGGTGAACTGAGTAAGTGAGCTAAGTTTTCGGGAAAATAATATAAGAAAGTTGGACTTCTTCTATGTTGTTGCGGAATGCGTTATCCGCATAATATATGATTTGAACTCTTTGTTAAAGTACTGTGAATTTGGAACTTAAATTTGAATTTTAAAATACCAACGAATTATTTTACTTCATGGTTTTTGGCTACATATTTACGCGAAACGCTATGGATTTTCTATTGTTAATTTAATAATATGTATTGGTCGACAAAATCAAGTTAAAATCTGTGTATCACGTCGGATTGGAATATTTATATAGAGATGCATAAAGAGTCACCTCTGTTTTGGAAATATATAATTTTAGTCCTTTCAAACGAGAACACTTTTGCTTACAATTTGATAAACTTAAATCTGTAATAAGCTTGTCTTTGAATTGAACTTCATACTCCGGAATACCAGTATCCCTAATTTAATTGTAAGGCAGAGTATTATTTGTCTAAAATAAAAACCATTATTTCAGTACATATACAGGAAATAAAAATTACAAATCACGCAGTACTTTACTTTATAAAAGTTATACAATAAATTTGTAGGGCCTAACCGAAAAAATAAAATTCAAAAAGTTACCAAAAAAATTTGGGATTATTGCACAAAAATTGGAGATATTTGTACATACATATAAAAGCAGAATATTGTTTATTCATGGTTTTTTTCGTTCGTCTTCGCGGACCCCCTAGGATTTTACTACGGACCACTAGGGGTCCGCGGACCCCCATTTGGGAACCGTTGAACTAGACTATAGACATAAAACACTTTTTATAGAAAAAAATTGTTAAAAATTTAAAAAGCTTTATGTTACTCACTCAAAATCGATATTAAATCCCTTCTCTGTGACTCAAACTGCTGTTGCAATACATTGAATTTCTCCGTGTCTCTTACACTTTCCAAATAATGTTTACGACCATCCAATATAAAATCAATTAATTCCAATATTTGTTGATATATTCTCTGTCTCAAATCAGGATCACTAGTACCATGAGCGCCATATTTTACCGAAATATCTATAAGATGTGATAGAGAATCTCTTAAACCAATATTACCAGACATTGCAGTCCAAGGTAAGTATTCGAATGAATCCATTTTCTCTGCAGGCAAAGAATAAATTGTAGAATTCTGTTCACGGAAATTAATTACTTCTGTAGTAATATGCAAAACGACTGTATTAATATCGGAGATAAATGATGCTAAGTTAGAAGATTGATGTTGATTTTCTATACGATTATCGGCTAGATCGCAGAAGGCTTGGAAAATATCTTGGAATTTGCAGATGCGTACATAGAATAAATCTTGAGCGGTTAAATTACCCTGAGGACGTTCTTGCCAACGTTGTACTAGCGAATTAATGGCCTCATCGATGAGTTTGTTGTATCTGTTGGAAAATGTTTGAATAAAAGTCATTTGCTTTGTTATGTAGAAAAACTTACTTGTTTTGTATACTTCTTAAAGCAATGGCTGCAATAATTCTCTCGTTAATATCGGATATAACAAAACTAGTGGGTTTTAAAACATTGCCACCAGCACTGGGAACAGAGCTCAGCTGAAATTTTTAAATACATATGGTAATAATAAATTTTATAGCTTTTATAAGGGGCTAAAAGTTACCTTTTCCCATAAGCCAGTAGCATGTAGAAATTCTACAAAATGTCTTAAGGCCAAGTTTTTCTCTTTAAGTTGTGTTATAATTTGCAAAGAAGAAGAACTGCCTAAAGCATATTTTTGAGCATTAGGTTCTTCCCATAACTGTTCCCAACGAGGATCGGTGGCGGGAATATCTTCAGCCAAATCTTCAGCTATAGTAATAACAATTCTATGAAGCAAATAAAAAAATATTAAAATAATATTCTTTAATTGTTTACATTTAAAACGTACTTATCCAATTGTGCGGCTTCTCCAGTGGTAGATGGTTCCGCGGCATTTCTCAGCAAATCATTTAGAATGCTATTACACATATTAGTATTACGTTTCAAACGATATATAAAAGCCGCCTTCAATTGACTAACTTCATCTTTAAATTCCGAATATATAGAATCTGGATCTAATTCATACATGTACAAATTCTGTTCATTTATATTACTCATCGATGAGGACAAAACACTCTGTTCCCTTAAAGTAGTATCGCCCATGGGAGAAAATACTTCAGGTGTGGTGCAAGAAGCATTCATTATATCTGAACTATCAAAATCTCCTGGAGTTATAGAAACTAAACCATGAGTACGACTAAATATTAAAGGAATATTAGCACAAACAGCAGCACTAAGGATACGATCATCTTGTAAATGAAATTCAATTTTTTCTGCATCAATTTCACCAATTTGTATATTGGCTAGAGGCAAAGGATAGACTACCTTATCGTTGTAAATATAAATGTGTGTGCGACAAATAATGAAACGCAATGATAAACATTCATTTTCTGTAGCCACACTATAGAAGTGGGAAAATTTGAAGGGAGTAAAACTCAATAAACGCATTCCTTCATTGCTGGTAGATAAAACGCCTAGAAAGTAAATTTAAAAAGACATTAGTGGTAGAAAATAGTTAAAAAATGAATGAATTCTTAATAAATCAAACTTACTCATGCCATAATACATTTGCGGAGTTTGTGTGGTATTTACAGCTCCAGCCAAAACATATGTCTTTCCCTCAAAAATATGCATATCGAGCAGTTGTAAATCAACATTTAAACTGTCTGTGTGTAAGAAAAGATTTAAAACATGCTATAAATTATAATTTATATTACATTCTTACCTCTAACATTCCAGAATTTCTGTTGAAATTCATCACGTATTTTGCGTATAATTTCAGAATCTTCAAATAACATTTGTTCATTGTTGCCAGAATGATTGAGACGCCAGCGCTGAATCCAACGATCAGCTAAGACTGCAACAACAGCTTCACGTTCACCCGAATCTTGGGGATCACAAGCAACAGCTACAAATTTCTACAAAACAATTGAACAAAATTAAAAATTATTACCATTTATAAAATTGCTTACAGATATACAGGGAGTCAAATAAATAACAAATCACAAACCAACTTACATTTTCTTTATCATTCGCATTATTCATGCCAATTATAATCGAAGCAAACTTTTTACCAATACCACCCAAAAACCCAGAAGGTTGACGTATTGTCTTATGCTGCAGCACATGACGACCGTTTTGCAATTGCAATTGTAGCAGAACCATGCTACAGGTGGTTGTCACAAGTAAATAACTTAAAGGCATTTGCTGCTGAGGCAATGTTAACATATAATCAAACTCTTGACCATCGAGAATATTTGTTAAATCAACCGAACTGCCATCGTGGGCTATTGAGGGCCAATAACGTACATCACCAGTGGGTGAAACTGCCACACACGAGGCCATTTGTTGACTTTCACTTAAGAAAACACTAACCAAAGATGCTTTGTGTCCAATATCGCAGTGGGGTAGTGTCAATTCCCGACATTGAGCCATGGCGCCACCTCTGCGCTGATGACTGCGAGCCAATAGATCCTTGGCGCTCTTGGGTGGTGAATTGCCAGTGCTGGCATTACGCACATCTTTATATTGCCAAACTAAAAGGCGGCGACCGTGCACCACCCAAGCCCAGCCGTTTTCAGAGCAACGAACTGACACAGATTGGTTTTTCTCGCTAAATGTTAAGGCCTCATTTACCAGAACAGGCAACTGCAAGCCATAGCTTTCAACTAAATTGAAATCCGAACGTATGCCCATAAACGATTGATTCGAACGTCCAGAAATGCTGTAACGGCTAGTATACACAAAAAATTTCAGGTGTTTTTGAATTAAAGTCAAACATTTTACTTACCTTTGTCCTATACTGCCTCCACCACCAGTTGCCTTCTTTAAACCACCAGCAGCATAACTCAAGGCTGAACCACCTAAAGATTTGCGTCCGACATTGCTAAATGTTGATGCAGATGTCTGTCTGGCGCGTATCCCGGTACCAGCGCCGCCCAAAGAATGTCGCGCCATACCCGAATATAGTTGCTGATGAAGATTTTTATCCATTTTCATTTATGAGTATCTATTTTATTACGAAAATTAAGAGATTTTTACAAATATTTCGCACAACAAACAAAAACCGGCGTTTCTTTTGACAATTCACGAAAATGTGTGGCAGAGCCCTGCGCCGACAAATATTAACGGCGGCGGTGACTGACACTAAATATGTGTCAGCGGCTTAAAATCGACTGTAAGCCGGCTAAGTTTTCAACTACGTTTCGTTTTCAAAATTTTCAACGATTTTAAATAAAAACGGAATCCGAGAGATCAGAAAGTGGGATTTTGGAAGCAAATATATTGTTTATAAGAACAAAACAGAGCAAGCTCAAAAGTTGCGTGAGAAATTATGCAGGGATGGATAAAAAAATTTACGAGGATCGGCCTATATCCTCCATATAAAACATCTTGCAGAAAATCAGTTTCTAAAAAATTTTGCATTAAGAAAATGATCAATAACGTAAAAACAAAGATATGTTATTTATTCAGTAATAAAAAAGCCAATTTGGGCGAAATAATATTACATAGTCCTGTCTGTTCTGTAAACCAAATCCGAGTAAATTTCTCGTTTAAAAACGAATTCGCATATTTTTTCTGGTTTTAAAACCGAGTACACAAATCTAGTGGAAAGTAAATCGAATGTAATTTTATTCTAATAAATTAATTATTTTTCTGCTTTTTTTAATACAATTGTAACTAAATATAAATGCTATGGGCATTTTAGAAATTACTCGCATACAGATTTTAATACAATCAGGAAGCTGCGTGTCCAATTTTAGGTTCAATATTATAGAAAATTCGAAAAGTATTAGTAAAATAACAAAAAAGTACCAGAAAGTATGCTTTTTAAATTTTCGTTCAATTAGGATACTGCGTGTTTAATTTTATGTTTATATATTCAATATTTTAGAAAACTCAAAAAGTACCAGTTGAAGTACGAAAAAGTACCAAAATACCTCAATATTATAGAAAATTCAAAAAGTACCAGTTAAAGAACGAAAAAGTGCTAGAAAATTCTCCAGTTTAAATTTTCTTTCCGTCAAGTCCCTGATTGCTTAGTTTTATGTTTCTAGGTTCATTATAATAGAAAACTCAAAAAGTAACATTTGAAAAACGAAAAATTACCAAAGGGCGCCCTTTTATAGATTCTCATTAACTCCGGGCTAGGTTAAATTTTTATAGAAGACTCAAAAAGTACCAGTCGAAGAACGAAAAAGTACTAAAAAGTCCCATTTTATAGACCCTCATTTACTCCGGGCTCTACATAATTAATTTCATGTTTCTAGGTTTAATTTTAAAGAAAACTCAAAAAAGTACCTGCGTAGAACGAAAAAGATCCGAAAAATCCCTTAATTATTAATTTCATGTTTCGATTTCGATATCATAGAAAACTCAAAAAGTACCAGTTGGAGAATGAAAAAGTACCAAAAAATATCAGTTGGTACCGGTGTTCTTGAATAAAATAAAATTTCCCCTTTTTACCCCTTTTGGTACTTTTTTTCTCCCCATTAACGAAATAAAAATTCTGTTCCAAAAAGTTGCAACATCGTATTGGGAGCCAGTTATTATGTATTCATATGTATATGTTAATAAACCAAAAACAATGTTTTTAAAAAAGTACCAAAAATAGGTACAATTTTCACCCCTTAAACGTCCTAATATCCAAAAAGTACTAAATGTTCGACTTGAATTCAAGTTTCGTTTTCACTGGAGAATGCTATTGAATTGAAAGTGTAATGAAAGTGTATTTCAACACTTGAAATTTGAATGTTTGAGTGGAGTTAAACTTGTTTTAAACTCTATTTCCAGTAAGAATGCTTATTTGGTTACCAAATTTTGGTATAGTGTGACAACTATAAGGGATCTAAAGTCGACATAAAGCCCACAATGGTTTGTACCAATAGTTTGCCCAAACATCATCTACATACCTAGCCAGGTTATATCCTCTAGGTCCGTGAAGACATTTTCTACAAAGCTATAAATTTGTATAAAAGGCGGCTTAACAATTGTTTCTTGTAAATATTCGGACACCATAGTGTTTGGAGACAACAAGAGCTTCACTGAAAGGCACACCAGACAGACATCAAGCTCTATTATGGGTGTATGGTAGTGATTCTGCTGAGATCAATGGTATAATAATAAGAATGTATCCCAAGGATACCCCCTTTTTTCTTAATTTTTTTTTTTATTTCGCATACATATATTAGGCATGGATTTTTTTCAGTGTAGGTGACTAGGGAGGTATACAATTGCCACCCTCTTGTGGGCATTCTTCCAGGAGACCACCATGATGCCTCCTCTTTCTTGAAAAGAAAGACGTTCTTTATAGACAAATAAATAATTAATTAACACCATTACTTACATTTTTTAATCTTCTAGATCTCACAAATATACCAAATCTAAATTTCAATAAACACTTTTGGGTATTAAACGAAAACAAACCTCGCCTGGAAAAACATTTTCATCATAGTTATTAACAATTTAACTAAATTAAACCCAACACTTGCTGTTTCTTTGCACAATGACCCTCGGTATAGTAATAGAGAGAATTTATTTTCACACAGTATTCGAAAAAATCAATTATCTTGTTTAAGTTAGAATTTCTTTAAGTGTTGAATTATCGATAACATTGTTTACCATTTTCCCAACAAACCGGCATCTCTCGTTCGTTCTCTTTGTTTCGCAAATAACTGTTAAATTAAAATTTCCCAAACAAAGAACAGCTGTCCAAATTCAAACAAAATATTTCCCTTGAATGCAGCTGTTGAACTTTTTTGCAAAACAATTGAAAAAAATGATTTAAATAAAAAATTTTAATCAAATAAAATTACACAAACAAATAAAAATGGCGACATGGACCAAAAATCAACCAAGTGGTGGTTCATCAAGACGTAAATGGAATTTGGATGGTAAGTTTTAGAAAACAATACAAAAACGTTTTCTTTAAAGTCTTCGAAAAACATAATCTTATGAAATACTTCTTAATTAGATCGCACCACTTTGAATAATTTAAAATATCATATAGCCTCGGAAGGCTGTTCAGAAGTACAATATGATTTGGCCAAACAATTATTGGATAAAAATATAGGTTCGTATTTTTCTTTGTTTTACCATAACCATCGAGATTTTGATTATAGCTTATTGATTTTTTGTTACTAATGTAGAACACAATGAAGAAAGTTCTGGTGAACAAGCGGTACATTGGCTATTGTGTGCTGCTCAACAGGGTCACGAGGAGGCGGCCAATTTATTGCAAAAGTGCTATGAAGAAGGTTGTGGCATTAGTGCAGAAAATGAGCACGAAGTGCGTTCTTGTTTATCCATGACACCGGGCGAAAGAGCTGCGCGCAAGGCGGCCCGTGAACTTTTTGCTTGTCTCTCGAATGGCGGTAAACATATATCACCGCGACAATTGGAACGTAAAATGCGCGAAATTTATAAAATGCAAAAGGCAAAAAGACAACCGGGTGACTCAACATCCACTTCAGAAGATGATATGGATGATGAAGACATGGGCCACCAACCTTTAGAGGATGGTAGTGCTGCTATACCTAATGGTTCCATAAATTTACATACCCATAGAACACAGGACAGGCGACGAAAGCAGCGAAGGAGTCATTTAAATATTCCCGAAAATTTTGCTGACAATGATCCTAATATTACCGAGGAGAATCTCGTTTCCGCTGCTGTAAATTATGCAGCTGGTCGCATGCCAGCTGTTAATGATGCTCTAACACTAACTGTACCACATCCTGCTACTTTGGATCATGTTCCTTGCTTCCATCGTTTGTTGTTTCATCCCATATTGTTCTTTACCCTAATGTATCATCGCCTGATTAATATGGTCTCCGATTTTCCTAAACGAGTACCACAAAGCGTACGTTTTGCGGTGTTGCTAACTCTCTACTGGCTGGTCTCCAGTGATAATCTAACCGTGCTACTGCCCATTGGCTTTTATTACCTATGCTGGATTGTAATGATTTGGTCCACCTGTAAAATGTTAAAAACTAAACATGATTTCATAGATTTTCGCATATGGTCTGGATTGTTTCTCAGATATGGGGACCACAATATAGAGGCAGATATATCTGAGAATCGTTTTTTGAAAAACAATATGAAGCCGTATTTGTATTTTTTCTGTGCTTTTATAGGCAATTTGTTGGTGTATCCCTTAATCTCCTCCGAATGGCTGCCGCATTCAGAACTTACCACTGTGGCAGGCATTTTTGTGTTTGTTTCTATGCTGGCGTTTATGTATTCGTCTCAACGTTTTCCCGACTGGATTGTTTTAGTATCGTTCGGTGTTAATGTACTGGCCAAATATCCCTACGAAATGGATGAAGTCGTCACCACTGGTTGGCGTTTTTTGGATCTTAAAGTTCCCACTTTTTGTTCGTTTGTCATTGGCAATGGCATAGAGTTTTGTTTGAATTGTCGCACTGCTTTATATTTGTTAATACCCATGTTTCTGGTGCATCTGGCTAAGAGATCTAATTGGCATGGCACTTACACTCATCTTATACCACATTGTGTTACACTTAGTTGGCTGCAATTATGCATAACAAGTGCTCAAAGTGCCACCATGTTTGGTGTGGTGAGAGCAACATTGGGTTTGGCAGGAATTTTACTATTTTTACCATTGTTTGGTTTGGTCTCATTGTTAATACCTGTATTTGTGGTCATTGAATGGCTGGGATTTACGGATCCCAATATACGCTTGGGTAGCACTGTGGTGGCTTCGTTACTGGCACTTTTGGGCTCCTGTTTTTTGGCTATAAATCGCACGACTCAGAAGTATATAACAGTAATTCAGGTGAGTTAATTTGTCTAAAAATAATACAATTCAGGATGAATGTTTTCTAATAGAAAGTATCTCTAGCTGCAGAGGGTAACTGCTCTTGTTACTGAAAATTTGCTTCAGCTTTTGAGAATATTTTCTCTCTAATATTTTCTTATAGAGAAATATCTTTAATGTTGAGGAAGATTTTCTTATAGTCACGTTTTTCTCTGCTGCTGGGAATATGATTGTCGTATAGAAAATTTACCTTACCTTCTGAAAAGAATATTTACTTGTAGAATATTTCTCTCTGATACTGACATTAAGGTTTTTTTACAGAAAACATTTTTTAAGAAAAATTTCTTTATGTATTTGAGTGGAGAATTTTCTTATAAAAAATGGTCTTAGTTACTGAGAGAAAGGTTGCCGGAATATAAACAACGTTTTTATTAAAATAAATCTTCATTTCCAGCTCTTTATCTGTGTCACCTTTGCTTGTGTTCTAACATTCCCCTACATGACCTCCAACTTTAAAGATACAACGCGCTTCAATACAATAATACCTGATCTTAAACATCAACCAGTAATCACTTCACTGCCGGTGGAAGAAAACCATATGCCACCACCACCCTCAGAATACTTGAGTTGGCAACGTTTCTATTCACATTGTGGACCACAGGCCTGGTGGAGGGATAACAATAAAATTAAAACTCAACTTAAGTGTGCCCATTTAGAAGGACAGGCTGTTGCCTGGGAAGGTGACGTAACCCAAGTACAAATAACTAGTGTTCACAATAAACCGGCCTGGTACATAAATAAATATCTTCCCGCATGGCTTAATCGCATGATTTCTTGTCTCTACGGTGAACGTTTGGAAACTTTATTTAAATGCCAGAAACCGCATGATCAATTGTGTCTTGATTATCAAAATATTTTAAAAAATGCCCACTTAGATCAACGCTGCTCGTTACACAAATGGAATACCTATGAATATGAGATTCGTGTTAAAATGTCTTCAGGTTTACTTGATAAACGACAGGAGGTTATCTTGCAGGCTCAACACAAATTTGGTAATTTTACTCGTCGTTTGGTAGAGGGTGATCGTGTGCATTTTTATGGTACTCTCAGCAATAGTCGTACGGTTTCTTGGCCTTCTCCCGAGAGATATGAGGAATATATATTGGGTTCGACTATGGCGCATATAAAATTGGCAGCCATTGAGTGTTTACAATGCCAGGATCGTGACAATAGTCCTGTTATATTGGATTCTCTCTTAAAATCACCTGTTGATGCTCGTATGCGTGATTTAATGCGCGGTATTAAATATTTACTAAACGTATTTTTAAGTCCTTTAATAACATTTAAATGAAATGTTTTCCTTAGTTATTATTTCTTAAGGTTGTTTTTTTTCTTTTTATTAATTTTCACTTTAATTTCTGAAATTAAAATTTAATTAAGTTTTTGTAGTTTAAACTGAGGTTATTTTTTTTTGTCTAATAGTTAGTAAAAACTTTACTCAAAAACCAACCCAACCAACATTAATATTGTAATTTATTAATAAATTAACAAAAATAAAATTAAAATGTATACATGTGTATAAATTGTATGTGTATGTAACTGAATAATAAACGAACAAATAAATTATTCAAATGTCTATCACTCTTATTATAATATTTACTCTTTAGCTCTCTTTTTCATATTCTCAGTTTTTCTAATCTGAAGAATGCCAAAAAAAAGAGTTAATTTGCTAATTTGTTATCTATTTTTTCAGACAAATAAATATTTTTTTTTGTATATTTTTTACAAAGTCATTGTTAATTCTCGGTACTTAAGTTCTATGTACATGCCCAGAGTCATTGTGTTATACATACATGTGCATGATCGTATATACATGTTGATTTGAATTTAATTAACGTTTAACCCATGTCAAATTTTATTTTATTTATTTCTGGTGTTTTCTATGATGAAATTACCAAGTGATAAAATTATCAGTTTAATTACATTACATTTATACGTCATAGAGATTAGGAGTCATTAAGGTGTGTTGTTATTGCAATAGGTTAGTTTATTTTGCATAAACGTATTATTGTGACTCAAAGGAACAAATTTCAGTAGAAAGGGGGGAAATCGAAGGAAAAAAGGAAAACATTTCAAGGGAAAAATTGATTATATCGAAAATAGTACATTTTCGAAAGTTCTAATAAAAAGGCTTCTTCCAGACTAGAGACTACTTTGAGAAAGATTTGTCAGTATATTTGAAGACGTGGAGCTCTACTTATTATTTGGTCAGTAATCAGCTACATGGGAGATATTTTTTTCAGAGTTTGAGAGAGATTCTTATATATTACAAAATATGATTTTCTGCAGCATCTTGTCCAACTTCCACCTAGCCATTTTTTGGACCAATATAGTAATTTTTTGATGGTCGATAACTTTAGCTTTGCTGTAATTTACATATTCCACCTTTCGCTCTTCTTTAGCTGCATTGGGATTAGGTATGATTGTTTCTTATGATATGAGAATTCAGAGCCGGAAGCCGGATTTTTTTGAAATTTAGCGAAATTTTTACAAATTTTATTTTACGAAAATGTTCTATAAAAAAAATTACGAATTTTTTCTATAAAAATATGTAAATGCGAAAATTTTTTATAAAAATTAATTTTATAAATTTTGCGAATATTTTCTATAAAAAAATCTTTCCAAAATTTTCTATAAAACAGAAAATTTGCTAAAACTTTCTGTAAAAAATTAATTTTGCGTAAATTTTCTATAAACAAATCAATAAAAACATAAGATTTTTGTAAAAAAAGAAAAATTTCTATAAAAAATGAATTTTTGCGAGAAATTTTTATAAAAAGTGAACTTTTTCGAAAATTTTTTATAAAAAAGAGAAATTTCAAGAAAATTTTGTATAAAAAACAAAAAAAAAAAAAATTCTATTTAAATGGAGATATTGCGCATTTTTTTTTTTGGAAATTTTATATAAAAAGAAAAAAATAGAGAAAACTTTCTATATAAAGAGAAATTTTGAGACAATTTTTTATAAAGAGATAAATTTTGCGAAAATTTTCAATAAAAAAAAGAAGTTTTGAGAAAATTTTCTATAAAAAAATCAATAAAAAGAGAACATTTTGCGAAAAAAATTTATAAAAAGTGAAATTTTTTTGGAAATTTTATATAAAAAGATAAATTTAGCGGAAACTTTCTATAAAAGTGAAATTTTGTAAACTTTTCATAAAAAATAAAAAATTTCAATAAAAAGTGAAATTTATTTAGAAATTTTATATAAAAGAGAAATTTAGCGGAAACTTTCTATGAAAGTGAAATTTTGCGACAATTTTTTATAAAAAGTAAAATTATGAAAAATTTCTTTATAAAAATATTTTGCGAAATTTTTCAATAAAAACAAAAATTTTGCATATTTTCTAGAAATAGGGAAATTTTGCGAAAATTTTCTAATAATTTTCTATAAAAAATTGTGAAATTTTTTTTTTGAAAATTTTATATAAAAAGAGAAATTTAGCGGAAATTTTCTATAAAAGTCAAATTTTGCGACATTTTTTTATAAAAGGTAAAATTTTGCAAAATTAAAAAAAAAATATTTTGCTAAAATTTTCGATAAAAAGAAAATGTTCCGAAAAATTTTTATTAAAAAAAGAAGTTTTGCGAAAATTTTCTATAAAAACAAAAATTTTGCAATTTCTATAAAAAGGGAAATTTTCAAATTTTTAAAAAAATTTTTTGGAAATTTTAGGGGAAACTTTCTATTAAAATGAAATTTTGCGACAATTTTTAATAAAAAGTAAAATTTTGCAAAATTTTTATAAAAAGAAATATGCAAAAATTTTCTATAGAGAGAGAAATTGTGCGAAAATTTTCAATAAAAAAATAAGTTTTGCGAAAATTTTCTATAAATAGCTAAATTTTCAAAATTTTTCATTAAAAAGTGTAGATTTGCAAACTTTTCTATAAAAAAAAGAAAAAATTTTTTATGAAAAAAAAAATTCGCGAAAAAATTTCTATAAAAAGTGAAATTTTGTGAAAATTCTTATATAAACAGAAATGTTCTAAAAAAATTCCAAAAATTTTTATAAATAAGAAAAAATTTCAATAAAAAGTGAAATTTTGAAAAAGTTTCTACAAAGAGAGAAACTTTTTTGTTTCTCTAAAAAAATTCGAAAATTTCGAAAAAATTTTTATAAAAAGTGAATATTTTCGAAAAATGTTTAAACAATTTCAAAGTTTTCTTTAAAGAGATAATTTTTTCTTTATTTTATATAAAATATGATAAATTTTCTAAAAAAGAAACATCTCTATCAAATGTACTTAAGCGAACCAACACTACCCCTTATGGGTTAAAAAAGCACTAAACAACAACTACCACAACAAAAAAATAATTAATACTATATTGGTCTAAAAATTTACAAGTCATACAATAAAATGACTTAAAATGTTAGACTGTAGCAACAAAAACAACAATTAAATTAGAAATAACAACAACAAGTACTTAAAATTAGACACAGTGAAAAAAACTACTGAAATAGAGAAAAATAACTACAACCACCACAATCAAGAAAAAATGTGACTAATTACAAAAGATAAAATAAGAAAATGAAATAAAAAATACATATTCCATAATTAAGAATAAATACTTCAACTACATTTAGAAGCCTAAACAGAAATAAAATACAGATAAATATAGGTGTTTTTTCAAATAACTGTAATTGTTCATTTTATTTTTTTTTTGCATTTGATTTATTAGGTTTGTTTTGTTTGCTATTTAATTTTAAAATAAAATTTAAAAATACAATTAAGCAACTTTGTTTAAATTAAATTCTAAGGAAAAAATCAAAAATGGAAAGTAGTAGTGACAATATTTTTGTTACAAGAATAAAGAATAGTTTATCAAAAAATATAACAATTACTAAGAGTACCGTTAATATATAATATAATTAAAAAAATTGTTTAAGAGATGAGTTCAGAGAACCATACTCAGGATGAAAAGCCTTGGGAAAAGCATTCATTCTCTTTTCTTTCCGATGACAAATCTCTTAAAAATGTTCACAAATTGTTTACGTTTTGTTTTCCCATAAAAATGCAACATAGACAGTTTTTCATTTTGTTTAATTTTGATTTAAAAGTTTTGAACTATTTGTATATATTTTTTATATAAATAAAAAAAGAAGAAAACCCAAAAGATCTTGTTTTGTCCCATTCACTAGCAGAGAGCAATTCACTCTCTTGCTGTGGAATCTTGAGGCAATTTTGAGGCCTGTAGAATGTAACCCTTGGCAGTGAGTACCCCACGACAGCGTACATGAATTTGATAGCGCAATGACCAATCTACCGTGTAATGGGGTATGATGAAATTCTCGTCGTTTATAAGAATCTCTGGATCACCATGAGTCAGCAGTTGTATGTCATGTTGAGTGCAGAATTCCTTAAGCTCTGGTGGCACCACACAACAATTAGCTAAATTTATTTGATTAATAGTAGGAGGCACTCTAGCGTTTTTATGCAGCTCTGTCAAAGCATCACAGTCCAAATCGGCAATGCCCAATTGGCAAATTTGTTTCTTTTCATTGAATTCTTCTAAGACTTGCCACAACTCCTTAAGTACATCCAAACTTTTCTCATTGCGTTTGCTCCACTTCAAGTCACCCGTATACGAAACAGCACTGGTCACATCCGGAGTCTCGGGCAAAACCTTAGATGCCGTTTCCAAAGGGTGATAGGCTAGCACCAAGTTGTCCACATGTTCCACTTGCAAAATATGCATTAAAGCATTGACAGCCTCCTCTACACCCTGTTTAGAGGATTTGTTTAGAAACAATTTCACACCAATACTTATTTCATTGCGAGCATATTCTTTGATTCTCTCTTGTAGCTCTCGATTGGCTCTTAGCACTTGAGCTTCAGTTTCGTGACATACCACTTGTGTCTCGCCACAACCACCTGGCGCCGCTGCCTGCTCGTTGGCGTTTTGTGTTTCAGCCGCCTTCTGACATTCTGTGCATAGTTTCAATGAATCCAATAGTTCTTCATTGGATTTTCTCAACGGTGTAGCACTGTCCACATTTAGTATGTTGCCCGTGCTGATAATTACCTTTTCCAATTTGGTGTTCTTCGCAATTTCACTCAACATGTTTGCGTTTTTTCAATTTTCTTTCAACTGCAATATCGAGTTTATCACTTTACTATTTATATATGTGTACTTTTGTTTGTCTTAAATTAGTTTTATGAATTTTTTTGTTATAATAAAAAACTAAGGAAAATTAAGATAAAGGAACGTGCTGCAGAGACCTGCGCCGATCGGCTCACAGCCGACTAAGCCGAGCCGCCGAATAAATTTAGAAGCCGCCGCCGCCGAAAATTTTTTCGGCTGATATCGGCTTAAATTGAGCCGCCGATTCCTATATGCATATTAATACTATATGTATTAAAATTAAACAAATTAAAAATTATTACCATTTTATATTGTTTAAGCCCCCTTCACACGAGCACACAAGTAATATGATCTGTCAAAATTTTGTGTAGAAGAGAACGGATAGGATCGTCTAAACGCAATATGTAATGAAACCATCACACATTGAGAGAAAATACGGATGGAAAATGTGACAGTCATATGGCTCTCTTCATTTTTTGAAATGATTAAAAAAACAAGCAAATCGCATTAGATCAGGGATGTATTTTTATGTAAACACATACAAAAAAAATGAAACAGCTGTTTCCATCTTACTTTGTTATTGTTTTATACCAATCGTTTAAACACAAAAAATATAAATCATACGACTTTTATTCTCTTTTTTGTCATATGGATGGAATTTCAATTTACTTTTTCATTAGACTTTTCGTATGTAAAATGTGATCGTCTGAAGGGCCCTTTACTGAAAATTTAAAATATTTAAAAAACGTTATTTTTATATATGGCTCGAGGCATTACTCGAATTTCGTGTTTTTGAACTGAGTACTACAAATTATGCATTCCAATTCTTTATAAAAATACGTACATATGTATATCTGTTTACAAAAAAAAAACTAAAAATAAAACTCATGCTTTTAGATATTGTATTTATTTTAAATGCAAATGAGAAAAATTTATATGTTTAAAATTTGTTAAAAAAAACATTCTTTCGTTTTTCTCGAAAAGACGTTTTTTGAATTATGTTAGTATTGTGAGCATTATTTTTGATTGGCCTGATATTTTCCTTTCCATATCACAAAACTAAAAGAATTTCAATAATGTCTGTTTTTATTAATCGGATACGTGAATACTAAAAACGTTTATTTTTAAATTTTATACAATATGGAAAATTTTATTCGGCTCACAGCCGACTTAAAGCCGCCGCCGAAACTTTTCTACATAAGCCGCCGCCGCCGTCAAATTTGCTCGGCGCAGGTCTCTGACGTGCTGTTCTCAGCTTGTTCAACTTTCGATACTCATTCACAAAAAAACGAAAATGAAAACACACACACCAGAGCCCTGCGCCGACAAATATTAACGGCGGCGGCGACTGACACTAAATATGTCGGCGGCGGCTTAAAATCGACTGTAAGCCGGCTAAGTTTTCAACTACGTTTAGTTTTTAATTTTTCAACGATTTTAAATAAAAACGGAATCCGAGAGATAAAAAGTGGGATTTTGGAAGCAAATATATTGTTTATAACAACAAAACAGAGCAAACTCAAAAGTTGCATGAGAAATTATGCAGGGATGAATAAAAAATTCTTAAAAATTAAAAACAAATCCTTTCTCCAAGTTTTACTAGGATCTGCCGATATTTAACCCTATCTTCCATATAAAACATCTTGCAGAAAATCAGTTTCTAAAAAATTTTGCATTAAGAAAATGATCAATAACGTGAAAACAAAGATATTTTATTTGTTTATTTACTAGCTATACCCAGTGTGCTGTGCTACCCTAAAAGCAATATAAATAAGAAACCTACTTAACAATTTTGATGATTCTAACTACAATGGTTTTCCAGATATACAATTTGTTACATATGGGAGATTCCACGCAAATTATTGCAATTTCGCCAATTATTCCGAACGTTAATTAAGATTTTAATTTAATCTATGATGAAATTTGAATAATCTAATAGTTTCCAGATATACAAAATTTTGTATTTAATTCATATGGGAAGTGCCAAGCCCCCCATTGAAAGTCCGCCCGTTATTCTCTAAATGTTCTTCAGTAAAATTTGAAGATTCTAGCTCTAATAGTTTCTCAGATATACGAATTTTTCTATTTAATTCATATGGGAGCTCCAAGCCCCCCAGATGAAAGTCCGCCCTTTTTTCTCCAAAATGTTCAGATGAATATTAAAGTTGTTCGTGCAAAATTTGAAGAATTTAGTTATATTAGTTTCCCAGATAAACGAATTTTTGTATTTAATTCATATGGGAGGTTCCGCTCCCCTCATTGGTAGTCCCCCAGTTTATTACCCAAAATGTTTACATGGATGTTAAAGTTCTTCCAGAACAACATCATTTAAAGGGATCACAAAGAGATTGAAAAATATTCCAAAAGTTTCACTTTGAAAACATTATTAGAATGTATGAAAACTCGCAACTCTAAAGGAAGACTATTCCTATTTTAGTGGTATTTTATGATTAAAATAAGTAAGAAGTAAGAGTTATATTCCGCAAATCATATGTCGTAAAAAAGCAAATTTCGGAAGTGGTCCGATCATTAGATTAATAAGAACGTCACCGTGATTTTCGGATTAGGGACTTAAGTGTGGAATTGGATCAATAATATACAGTGTCTCTCATAAGTATTCGAATTTATGTAAACTATTAAAAGAAACCAAATTTAACAATATATTTTGTGTGGAAAATAAAGAAATTAATTTGTTATATTGTCTAGATAGTCCTTAGTTTTGATATCACGCCCCTTAAAAATTGGAAACTTTACATTTACTTAAATTAGTTGTGCTTTTTTAAAAAAAGTCCATGAAACTACTTCACAAAAGTATGCGAATTTTTCCTGTATTTCATATTTGATCATATTATACGATACACAAATTTTAGAATCGCATGGTTTTATGCTTAATATGGTTTTAAGGGGTTACTATCAACCGCATGGATATATTTTTGACCCATTTGGTCCACAATTTTGGGGGATTTGTACCCTCTTTTCATGTAATATCATTAAAATGGCGATTTTTGGCTATATTTGTAATGTTTTCACCCTTTTTCCAGAAATAAAACCAAAATTTAATATTGGAATTTAATAGAACCCATAGGGTATCTAAAAATAATATTTTTTGTTATAAGGATCTGTACTTAAACGTTCCAAGATGTATTTTTGGTATCGTTTTTCAGTTTCTAATTGAATTATCTGGATCATAAGTCCCTTTTCGTACCTCTAGGGACGATATTTTTCGACAAAGTTGTCTAGTGTATATTCATGTACATATTGGCACTAATGTATTTTAAATTTTCAATATATTATAGCGGTATACAACCCCAAAACATGCCTTAACAAAACGTCATCCTATATAGTAGATTTCAGTTTTTACTACTCGTAACTTTCACGCTTATGTTGCCCGTTACAATAACACTGTAAGTCCTAAATTTTGGTTTTAATTTGATCATAGTAAATAATATTTAAACACATATCAACATTTTTGATGTGATCATAATGATATCGTGCCATGCAGCATGGAGGCCATTGGTATATAAAAATAATGATTTTACTATTTTGAATGGTGTTTCTTCGAGGCATGTTTTGGAGTTGTACACTTCCACAACACATTGAAAACTTAAAATGTATAAAAGCTGATATCTAAAAGAATATATACCAGAAAACTTTCCCCGAAAATAGTTGATCCTAGTATTATAAAAATGGATTTAAGTTCCAATATATTGAATTAGCGAAAGAAGAATGATCCGAATAATTTATCTTGGAACGTTTAAATACAGATTCTTGTAACAAAAGATATTATTTTTAGATACCCCAAAGGGTCTTTTAAGTCCCAATATCAAATTTCTGTTTTATCTCTGGAAAAAAGGAGAAAAATTTACAATTATGGCCAAAAATCGCCATTTTAATGATATTACATGAAAAGAGGGTACAAATTCCGCAAAATTGTGGACCAAATGGGCCAAAAATATATCCTTTCCGTGGATAGTAACCCCTTAAAACAATATTACGCATAAAAACCATTCGATTCTAAAATTTGTGTTGCGTATAATATGATCAAATATGAAATACAGGAAAAATTCGTATACTTTTGTGAGGCAATTTCATGGACTTTTTTTAAAAAAACACAATTAATTTAAATCAATGCAAATTTTTCAAGTTTTAAAAAGCGTGATATCAAACATAAGGACTATCTAGACAATATAACAAATTAATTTATTTATTTTGCACACAAAATATATTATTAAATTTGGTTTCTTTTTATAGTTTACCCAAATTCGAATAATTATGAGAGACACTGTATATAATTTAAAGTATTTTTTTTTTTTAATTTTACCATAATTCTATCATAATGATAACTTTTGGAATGATGTATTAGCTATAAACTGATTTTCTGTAAGAGGGTTATATTGGCGGACCGATCCTCATAATTTTATTTTTCATAAATGTGGGTTTCGGTTCCTAAAAATGTTTATTTCGTCGACATCGACATTTGAAAGCCATTTATGTGCGTTTAAGTCATTTTCTGAAGAAGATTTCATTACATATTTTCGTTCCAACAAAAATTGTTTTATTATGATATTATTAAGTACGTAGAAAACGTTAAAATTAATTATTGAAGGGGGCAGGGTCAACTATGGCCTATAGAGATTTCGATTGATATCGAGCCCTTTTTGCAAAATGGACGTAAGCGAGATAAATTTTCGTTCAATTAGGATACTGCGTGTTTAATTTTATGTTTATATATTCAATATTTTAGAAAATTCAAAAAGTACCAGTTAAAGAACGAAAAATTACCAGAAATACTCCAGTTTAAATTTTCATTCACTCAAGTCCCTGATTGCTTAGTTTTATGTTTTTAGGTTCATTATAAAAGAAAATCCAAATAGTACAAGTTGAAGAACGAAAAAGTACCAAAAAGTCCCGTTTTATATGTTCTCACTTACTCCATGTTCAATATTATAGAAAATTCAAAAAATACCTTTTGAAGCACGAAAAAGTACCAAAAAGTTCCCTTTTATATGTTATTACTTAATCCGGGCTGTACATTCCTAAATTCATGTTTCTAGGTTCAATATTATAAAAAATTCAAAAAGTACCAGTCGAAGAACGAAAAATAGAAAACTCAAAAAGTACCTTTTGAAGAACGAAAAAGTACCAAAAAGTCCACTTTTTGGTACTTTTTCGGTCCACTTAGATTCTCAAGTGCTTAATTACATGTTTCTAAGTTCTAAGTCAAAAAAGTACCAGTTGCAACATCGTATTGGGAGCCCGTTATTATGTATTCATATGTATAAGTTAATAAACCAAAAACAATGTTTTATAAAAAAGTACCATAAATAGGTACAATTTTCACCCCTTAAACGTCCGAATATCCAAAAAGTACTAAATTTATATTTTTATTTGTTCGTCAAGTTATGAAGGATTCAAAAATATTTTTTGAATGTTCTCTGGTTTAAAAGATACATGGGGTGCAAAAGAAGTACCAAATTACAGTTTCTACCCGTTAATTCCCCAAAGGCGCCGAATTTGAAAAAAGTACCAGACACCTGCCCGCTTATTTTTTAAATGAACGACGATAAGCTTTAAACTGTTTTTGTATCTTTTATAGTTTAGGAGATATGAGGTTACCGAATTTACCCGTTTTTACCATTTTTAACCCCCTAATCATTCGAATTTCCAAAAATCCCGTCTAAGTGGATCTATTTGGTGGGAGACCAACCTCTTGTCTAAATTTCAGCTCTTTAGCTAAAACCGTTTAGGCTCTACGATGATGAATCAGTCAGTCAGTCAGTAACGTTAGAATTTTATATATGTACTAGCTATACCCAGTGTGCTTCGCTACCCTCATCGTAATGAATAAAATAAATATCATTATGTATTGTAAATGTATATATATCTGCAATACCAAAAATTCCCCTTTTAGAGAACTCTTTAAGTTCGATTTTATGATTCTAGTCTCAATATTACAGAAAATTAAAAAAAAAAAAAACAGCTGAAGAACGAAAAAGTACCAGACAGTGCCTTTTTATATATTTTCATTAAATCAGAATGACGCACAGTGGTATAGGAAAAAAAAAGAGGGAAATAATTCGGTAACTTCTAAACGGTTAATCCGATTTTAATGAAATTTGGTATTCACAAAGAGGAGGTGTTGTCGAGTTTAGGTTTTGAATTTGGACCTTATAGGCCAACCAGGGGCCCGGCGGGGGGTCCTCAAATTAGGACACCTCGGCTATGTTAAATTTTTAAAACGATCCTATTTCTTCCTTTGAGTTCCGATTTAAAAAAAATTTCGTATATAGAATCTCCTCATCGAGAACTA